CGGCCTCCGCAGCGCCGGTTCAATCCCCGGCTGCTCCCTGGCCACCGGAGGAGGGTCCCACATGGCGCGCAGACCTCTCCTGCCGCCCGCTGCTCCCCTCAGCAGTGTACTTCGGTCCTTCTGCCTGCTCTGCTCCCCGCTCTGGCTCTGGTGAATTCTCTCACCCTCCCGCGCTTCTGACTGTACCCAGTGCATGTATAAACAAAACAAACAAACAAACAAATAAATAAATAAAACATGCCTCTTAAAAAAAAAAAAAAGATGGAGAACTGTTCTAGATTACAGGAGACAAAAGAATTAATTCACGAAAATCAAATGCATATATGGTCCCAGGATGGATCCAAAATCAGAAAAAGTATTTTTATTTTGCTGTAAACATTAGTGGAACAACTGGAGTAAGGTCTACAAATTAAATAAAATTATGGTATTAACATTAATTTCCTGATTTTGATCACTTACATTTTGACTATGTTAAAGCATATTCTTATGTCTGCAACTTACCCTCCAAAAAAATGTCTAGACACACAGAAAAGATAAAATGTAGTATGAAGTTAACATTAGGAAATCTTGGCGAAGAGTATGCACAAATCCTTGTCTAGACTTACTACTTTTCTATAAGTCTAAACCTTAAAAGCTAGGTTAATAATACATAAAGCAATAAACTGCATATTCATATGGTCCATCTTATTTTCAATAACAGAATCATCAGAAATTTCCTTACATGTTATAGTGCCTCTTAAGGCTTACTCAGTTTGGTCTAAAAAGTTACCTGATTACAATCCAGCATGCTTCTTGCCATAAATCTGGGGTGATTTCATCATCATCCTCATCATATTGCATATCTGCAAAAAGAAATATTGCACTTATTTTCCATGTTACTAGTTAACATCTTGCTCCTATGAACTGAAGTACAGATTTGATGTTAAGGTCTGCTGAATAACTGCAATCCTTTCACTACACCTTTCTAAAATGTCAGTGTACTAGATCAATGAAATCACACACATAGGAATATGTCTACGTATACACAGGTCTATGTCACATAAGTTTTCTAAAGACATAAAAAAGCCTTATTACAAAGGTTCAGGGTATGTTGTATGAATTTGTAAGGTTTCCATATACTCCAGAAAGTCTATGTAATTCTCATTAATATTTAATTAACCAGAACTAGAAGCAAGCTCATCACTAAGCTCTGACCAATCAACTTGTGAGAGATTAAAGTAAGGGAATACTGCCAGAAAAAGGGTTCCAAAATCTGGCTACCCTGAAGTAGAACGGTCTATTACAACATTTCATGTACGTACAGACATGACAGGCTGTATTTCCCAAAATGGCCACAACCATCACATATAGATGACCATCACATCTACTTCACATACTCATTTGTAATATAATCTTTTTTTTTAATTAATTAATTTATTTATTTATATAAGCACTGGGTACAGTCAGAAGTGTGGGAGGGTGAGAGAATTCACCAGAGCCAGAGAGGGGAGCAGAGCAGGCAGAAGGACCAAAGTACACTGCTGAGGGGAGCAGCGGGCGGCAGGAGAGGTCTGGGAGCCATGTGGGACCCTCCTCTGGTGGCCGGGGAGCAGCCAGGGATCGAACCGGTGCCGCAGAGGCTGCGGGCAGCTTCGCAACCCAGTGCTCAACCGTTGCACCACCAGGGAGACCCTGTAATATAATCTTGATAGTCCTACCATCAAGATCTAGTGGTCAAAAAAAATAAAAAAGGTTCTGTATAATACTACATGACCTTGAAGTAGGTCAGGAAAGGCAACACAACTACCACCATGTTTGCTAAAACACTTGCTTCCAGAGACCTTAGGTGCCGTAAGTCCTACAACTCAGGTTGTTACACAGTGCAGCCCAAACCATGTGGAGAGGGCACTTGTAGGTACTTTAGTCAGCAATCATAGTGCTTGAGTTTGGTCTTTACCAAAAGAGCTCTGAGGAACCATTTTAAGATTTAAGCAGAGGTATGGCTAGATCAGAGTTTCATTACTGAAAAAAATCACTATGGCCACACTGTACAGAGTATACTGAAACTGCCAAGAAAACTGGAAGCACACAAAACAATCAGGAATCTCGGTTAGTAATCTAGTCAAGAGATGGTGGTGACCTGAACTAGAATTGTGACAGAGAAGATAGAAGTGACTGATGTGACATACTTAGGAAATGACTGAATCCTCAGACATAAGGATGAAAAACAGGGATCAAGAATAAGGTCCAGACTTCTGCCTTCAACAAGAGGGTAATACCACCGACTGAGCCGGAGGAGGCAGTTTCGGAAAGAAGATGGGCAAAGGAAAATAATGAGTTCAGTATGGGCAGTGACAAATTTGAGGAGCTTAGAGACATGCAGGTGAAGTTCTCTGTAGACAGTTAAGCAAGACACATGGACTACAAATATTTATTTGGAGGTTATCCACATATAGATGGTAACTGAAGCCATGATGAACAGATGAAATCACCAGAGAAAATGGGAACAGTAAGAGAGAATGAGAAACATTGTCAGAGATGAATTATGTGAGAGTAGTAAGGCTAAAAATAGCAGTGAGTATTACTAACAATGTTACACAGGGTTTGGAAAATGTTTAAAAATGTTCATCTGATTTATCAGTTGAGAAATCACCAATATTCTTATGAAGTGCCATTTTAGTGTAGTGGCATAAGCAGAACCAGACGCATTGGTTGAGAATTTGCATGATGGTAAACAAAAATAAGGACAACCTTTTCTTTTTCTTTTAATGTTTGCTCATTCACAGAGATAATACTTTATTTTTTTTTATTTTTGCGTAGAATTGGGGTGAAAACCAGAGATGAGGGATGGGGGAGGTGGAGGATTCACCAGAGAGATAGCACTGAGACTGAATCCCTAGGCTAACAGAGAGGCCCCAACCTATTCTTTTTGGAAGTCTGACTGTGAATGAAAGGAGAAAGATAAAATATTGGAAGAAAAAAAGGAAACAATAGTTTAACTTATTTTCTGTAGATGAAATCCAATAATATTTCACATATTGAAGAACTCAATAGAAAAAGAAGGTAAGAAAACTGATGAGATTATATCTAATAAGACATCAAATGACACAAACGGGGATGGAATGTAAACTCAGTGCCAGAGTAAACTTGAAAAAAAAGGGTAACTTTCCATTTTTTTCCGCATAGGACTATTATATATTGGTAATATATGAATGTAAATGAGCACGATCACCACGATGGTCATTTGGCAGCACCGAGAAAAATGTTAAACTTGTGCATCATTTGACCTGACAATTCTCTATCTAGGAATTTATCATCCCAGACATACTCGAGTCAGACAAACTATTTTGTATAAGATTAGTCATTGTAACACGATTTGTATCTGAAAGAAGCCAAAAATAATCCATGCCATCTTTTAAGAAGTTTACTTAGACTTAAATTGTTAGGGGGAAAAGGATGTCCTAAAGCTAATTCCATACAGGCTTTGTGGACTCCACCCCCACTCCAGGCCAAAGCCAAAAGACACTGGGAACTCCAAATCCCATCACCATCAAAGGGAAGGTGGCTGGGACCTGAGGGTGGGGTTAAGCAGCCAGGTTGGTATAAAGCCAGACACATGGGCTTTGGAGAGGTCCCCCATTCTGGCTCTCCGCCAGCTAGCAACCTCCAGCCAGCTCTGAGAGTGTCTTTGTGTTTCCAGGTCGGCGGATCGGGTAGGACGCATTAAAGACTTTATTTCCCTATTTTCTCCCTGAGTTGTACATTTTCCTTATTTCCTTTTCCCTTGTAAATAAACCTTTTATTAACCTTTTGTGTGTGTCTGTAGTAGAGTATTCATAAGTCCCTTATAAGGGCGCGGGTGAGGACCCACAGCCAGGCATCCCGTTCACTATCGGGGCTGCCCTATAACAAAAGCAGCACGAAAAAATGTCAAACTAGATGAGTACCCCCCACCACCCCCCAGTATTCTTTGCACCCTATCATTTGCAGAGCCTAGCATAAGGCTGGCGCTCAAAACTGTTCAACTCTTCAATAAATGTACTAACTCTGACCTGAAGGGAAATCTAAAAATGAGATTCAAAGTCAAAACAACAGAATTTGTATTATGGTTGTGATGCTATTTCAAAATGGGGAAGGCAGCATCAGACCCTCCCGGGAGCAGACAACAGAACGCTGACCCGGGACGCCCGCACCCTCCACTCCCCGCAATCCCGGGCGTGGGGCACAACTCTGGGGGCGCTTGTGTGGCGGGCCGGGAGGGAGGCCACTCTTCCATTCCTCCACGTCCCCACGTGCTCCCCTCAAGCGGGTGGCCGCGGAGTGTTCTAGGCGATCACCTACCCTCGTCCGCGTCATACATATTGGCGAACGGTTTCCGAGCTTCTAGCTTGAAATCAGAGAGAGGCGAGCCGCGTCCACCGCCGCGGGAGCAAGAATCGAAGTAACTTCCGTCTCTGACTTTCCCAGAATGCTCTGCGTCTCACCGCCAGGGCCGCCCCCAAAGACAACCTAGGATCTGCGCCTGCGCAAAAAATAGGCTGAAGTTAGGGGAGAGAATTGCGCACGCGCAAATTGTGGGGTCATGCTAGGCTGATGGGAACGAGGCTCTTACAAAGCGTCGCGTTCAGTCATGTAAGTTTTTCTTTCTCCACACAAGAAGGACTTATTAATAAAAGATTTTAACTTGGGGCGTAAATCCCCGGCATTCCACGCTGTTTCTCTGCACATCTCAAGACCAAAAAAACATTCATTTGTTGAGAGCGAGCCGTGCCAGCGTGGCGCGCTTGAAAGGCAAACAAGCCCGTTGCCTCTCCACGCAGAGTCTGACTGAGTCCTGGTCCCCGGAGCCTGTACCACAACCACTGGGCAGCCGCGCCTCTCTCGCGAGAACTCACGGGACTGGACGCGGGAGGAGGAACCGGAACAGGTAATCCCGGGTTTTGCGCTCGGGTTCCACGCGCGCCTCGCACCTCAACGCGCATGCGTGTGGTGGCCCCGCCCCCTCCCCGGGGCCGCGACCCCCCATGCTGCCTGCACGCCTGAGCCGCCGGCTGCTGGGCCGCTGGCTGCGAGGATGCGCTCCCGCCGCCGCGCGCCTTGGGCTCCGAGATCCGATCCTCGAGGGATGCGTGGCCGCCGCCTCCCGGTTCCCGTCGGGCCTGGGCCCTGGGTTTCCCCGTGGCCCGACGGCGCCGAGGGATTACGAAGGAAGGCCTGACGCGGAGGAGCGCTTTCTGTTCCCCGAGTACATCCCCGAGCCGGACCCCGAGCCGGACCTCCACGAGCAGTTCCGAGAGCTGCAGCGGCTGCAGGAGGAGGAGGAGCGGCTGAAGCAGCAGCGGCGCGAGGAGCGGTGGCAGCAGAAGCTGCGGCAGCAGAAGCTGCGGGTCAGGCACCTGGAGCACCCCGCGGCGGTGCTCCCCGACCCGTCGGTCGCGCCCAGCGGCCTGAACTGCTCGGGCTGCGGCGCGGAGCTGCACAGCCAGGACCCCGGCGTGCCCGGCTACCTACCCGGCGAGAAGTTCCTCCGTGCGGCGGCGCAGGCCGGCGGCGGGCTCTCGCGGACCGTCTGCCAGCGCTGCTGGCTTCTGGTGCACCACCGGCGCGCCCTGCGCCTGCAGGTGAGCCGCGAGCGGTACCTGGAGGTGGTGAGCGCCGCGCTTCGGCGCCCCGGGCCCTCCTTGGTGCTGTACATGGTGGACCTCCTGGACCTGCCCGACGCCCTGCTGCCCGATCTGCCCGCCCTGCTGGGACCCAAGCAGTTGATAGTGCTGGGCAACAAGGTAGACCTGCTGCCCCAGGACGCCGCCGGCTACCGGCAGCGGCTCCGGGAGCGGCTGTGGGACGACTGTGCCCGCGCCGGGCTCCTGCTGCCCCCCGGCCGAAGACGGTCACCTCACGGCGATAAGGGCCCAGGGGACGAGGAGCAGACTGCAGATCCGTCGGCCAGGTGCGGCACGGTGCTCAGGGACGTTCGACTGATCAGCGCCAAGACCGGCTATGGAGTCGAAGAGCTGATCTCCGCGCTTCAGCGCTCCTGGCGCTACCGCGGCGACGTCTACCTGGTGGGCGCCGCCAACGCGGGCAAGTCCACTCTCTTCAACACGCTGTTGGAGTCCGATTACTGCATCGCCAAGGGTGCTGAGGCTATCGACCGAGCCACCATCTCCCCTTGGCCAGGTGAGCCCTGGAAGACTCACTCTCTAGGTGTTTCTAAGAAACTGGACGTCTGCCTTTGACCCAGGCACCTGATAGGTCCCTTTAATGTCCACCAGAGACTGTTTAGAGCCTTCCTTTTAACAGCTCTCTACTTTGGTGACATGTTTCTTATGTGTCAGCTTGAGGCTTAGAATTTCATGATGTGTGGTGGTAATTTTCTAATAGAAATTCATGGAATACGATCCCGTCACTTTTCTAGCACTGGAAGGAAACTGGGAAGCAAAGCAAAGTTGCTGCTCTCCTGGGGCTTTCCCTTGTAGCTTACTTATTTGTGTATTTCTGGGAAAGTCCTTTTACTTTCAGAGCTTCCATCCACACCTGAATCTTAGTCTTCATATCTTGGGTTTATTCATGAGATCAGCGTACCATATTCACAGTTAACATCTGAATAACTCACTAATGCGATATGATGTGTAGCTTCGTTGAAAAATGTCAACTTTGTAACTTTAATAAACTGATGGGTCTTTTCTAACCCTGTTAATGATTTAACAGTTAGTAAAGATGTCACATTTTTTTCCCCTTTGAAACCATTTTCTTAACTTTCATACTGATCATCTCTGTCTTGGATTTGGGTTGACTCATACACAGAAGTACTTTTATGCTGCATAGTAGTATGGTGAAAATGGAAAGAAATCAGGCCTTCAGATTTGGGGTTCAAATCCTGATTCAGCCTGTGAGCCAATCTCTGAGCCTATTTCCTCATATGTAAAGTAGGAATGGTTTTATAGAGGCTATCATGAATGTTAAGTAAAATAAACCACAGTAACCGACAGTGTAGCTCCTCAAAATGTTTGTTTTCCTCTTATTCCCCTTTTTTTTCTACAATGTTTATTAAAAATATTTTTTTTAGATATATTCTTTGGTATTTCAGGTACTACTTTAAACCTTCTGAAGTTTCCCATTTGCAATCCAACTCCTTACAGAATGTTTCAAAGGCAAAAAAGGCTTAAAAAAGATGCAGCTAAAACTGAAGAAGATCTTTGTGAGCAAGAACAAAATCAACTCAATCTCTTGAAAAAGCATGGTTATGTAGTAGGTAAGCATGTTAGGAAAATGTGTCTTGTGTTGAGTATATGCTAAATTCCTTTTTTGAGCAACATGAAACACTCTGTCTGGACCTTGCCAGTTTTTGTAGGGAGAGGCTGCCTTCCTGTTTTGGAACATAAAGGCCCTTGAGGTGAGGCAGCTGTTTAGAAACCTAGATTTCAGTGTGCTAAGAAAATTGAGATAGTAAATGCTTGGAGAAAACCAGGAAAGGATATATGCAATCACTCTCCCACCTCCCGCACCCCCTACCCCCTACCCCAGGCCTTCATCAGCAAGCTTTTTCACTAACATAGTCTTAATGCAATACAGACTAACACAGGTTGTTGACTCCACTCAACAGCTTTAAATTAGATTGTCCCCCTTTCCTTGGTATCTCTTTTCAACCTTCCTTTACTAAAAAGGATTCCAACCCTTCTCCATCCTGCACCCCCTATCCCACTCTGCCCACTCCCCCAGTATACACAGCTGACTCCCATTGCTTTTGGGGGGAGGAGCCAAAGGTATCACTGTTGTCTTTCATAAAGTAGCTTAATTTGTCAACAAATTGAGGGCAGCAGAGTAGTGTCTGAAAGACCACCATCCTGCTCTTTGACAGTGTGCAGGGGTATTGATCCAGAGTAACAGGGAGTAGAAGTGGGGAGTGGGCAAGGGTTAGCAATGTCCTTCCTTGCAACACAAGCATCTGGAGGTTTTGTTACCAGAGCATGCTTTTGCTATCACCTTCTGGTCAACAATTCTGCTGTTATCTTCTTTGCCATGCCTACAGGGTAAGTAAAGCAAGGAAATGAGGGGGCTTATCTGGTGGGACAGAGTGAGACATACACTTTGTTGCTGCATCACATACTGGGGCCTCCCTGGTGGCACAGCACTATGAAGGTTCAATCCCCAGCCAGGGGGCTGGCCTACATGGAGCAGCAGACCTTTCTTGTCCCACCTGCTGCTCCTTTCAGGTTGTATTTCAGTGGATCTGCCTGTTCTGCCCCCCATTCTGTCTTATCACCCCTGACTCCCGCACCTCTGGCCTATACTCCAGTTCTTGTATGCATAAATAAATCTTTAAAAAAAAAAAAAAAGAATCTATCTGGAGTCAAAGCTCTAAAGCAGTGAGTGACTAATAAGCTGGAAGGGATTATGCTCAGTGAAATAAGTCAGAAGGAAAAAGAAAAATATCGGATGGTTTCACTTATAGGAGGAATATAGGGGAACCAAATAAGGGATCAAGAATAAATAATAAAAAAAAAAATAGCAGGCAACTATAAATCAGAGACCGTCTACAGGGAAGGAGGAGGGAGAGGGATCAAAATAGGGGAGGGAAGAGCACAAGAGGCTATGGTGATGGCTTACAGGTGAATTGGTGGTGGGAATGTTACAGGCAGTACACCTGAGAGGAGAAATCAAATATTGTACAAAAATGAACATGATGTGATATGTGTGTGTGTCTATAAATGTTAATTTTTTTAAAAAGCAGTAACTAATACTGTAAATATAACTTGTTTTAGGAAGAGTTGGCAGAACATTCTTATATTCAAAAGGACAGAAGGATGAAGCTACATTTGAGTTTGATGCTGACTCACTTGCCTTTGACATGGAAAATGAACCTGTTATGATTGCAGATAAACCCACCAAACAAGTAGAATTGACCCTAGAGGATGTGAAAGATGCCCACTGGTTTTATGACACTCCTGGAATTATGAAAGAAAATTGTGTATGTATTTTATTTCTTGATTTCTTTTAGAAACATTGACTTTAATTTGCAAAAGTACTGTCTTAATTGGGATAACCCAGGAAAGGAGGTATATTTTCATTTTTTTTTTTAAGATTTATTTATTTATGCATACAAGAACTGAGGCACAGGCCAGAGGTGCAGGCGGGTGAGAGGATTCACCAGAGACACTGTGGAGAGCAGAACAGGTAGATTGACATATTTTCATTTTAGACTCAGTTCTGATTCATTCATAAAGCAATTCAAGACATGAACTGCCGAGGTCTATGATCTAGTTGGTAGACTTCACTACTCACAACCCACTTGTTTATTGTGACTTTCACGTTGGTTAGGTAAGACATTTACAGTATCCTAGATATTCAGGTTGGAAGAAATCATAAATCTCAAGCAGTCCAGTCACCTGTTCCATGCTTGAATTCCCTCTAATGTATCCATCAAAAGGGCGTCCAGTTTGAACTGGAGTAAGGAGTGACCATCAGCTGAAGCAGTGTCACTTCACCTCCCAAGGTCACCTTTTTGGTCTTTGGCCTCTTTGTATTGAGCTGAATGGTCTCTCCGTAACTTGTATCCATTGTTCCTCAAAGCAGTACAAAACAAATTTAAAACCTTTTTCCCTTGCCAGACCTTGAAATATTTTAAAGTACAATGTCCTTACTCTTCCCAACTCCACCCTTCTGTTCCATTAGCTCATCCAACAAACACTGAACCTACTGTGCTGATGTTATTCAAATTATCTTGTCCCTGAGAGATAGGCTAGTCATTAATCCAGGCCTCTTGGTTTTCTGATTTTTGTTCGTTTGTTTGTTTTTGTTTTTAATATAAGGCACTGGAACTGAATTTCTTCTGTAAGTGCCCTAATTTAGAATAGGGTTGGCTCTACCTGTCTTCCCCTTACACATCTTTTCAATCCAGTTGCAGGATAGCATTGAAAACTTTGCATTCATCTCGTTAAATTCAACCTATATCCCATATACTCACAACTTTCTCTACTGTTAAACACTTTGGTCATCACTCAAATCATTGATTGACTCAGCAATGTATCCAGGTCACAGCCTAAATCAAAGTCCCGAATCTGCTTAATGCTAGTTTCTTATGTGTTTCTCTTACGTGATTCTCCCTATGAAATAACACTGGTTTCTTAGGTACTTTTCCTTCCAGTGCCTCATCAGGATCACTTACAGTTTCATTCTCAGGATTATATTCCACTTGGTGTCCCAAGTCATAGCTCTTTTAACCTTTTTTTTTTTTAAGATTTATTTATTTATGGGCCTCCCCGGTGGCACAGCAGTTGAGCGCTGGGTTGCGAAGCTGCCCGCAGCCTCTGCAGCACCAGTTCGATCCGCGGCTGCTCCCCGGCCACTGGAGGAGGGTCCCACATGGTGGGCAGAACTCTCCTGCCACCCGCTGCTCCCCTCAGCAGTGTACTTCGGTCCTTCTGCCTGCTCTGCTCCCTGCTCTGGCTCTGGTGAATTCTCTCACCCTCCCACACTTCTGACTGTACCCAGTGCATGTATAAACAAAACAAACAAACAAACAAATACATAAATAAATAAATAAATCTTAAAAAAAAAAGATTTATTTATTTATGCATACAAGAGCTGGGGTACAGGCCAGAGGTGCGGGGGTTGAGAGGACTCACCAGAGACACAGTGGGGAACAGAACAGGCACACGGACTGAAGTACACTGCTGAGGGAAGCAGCAGGCGAGATAGGAGAGGTCTGTTCTGTCCTGTGGGTTTCTCCCTGGCCAGCTGGGAATCAAACTTGTGCTGCATAATGCCTCATAGGTTGCATCTTAACCCCTGCGCCACCAGGGAGGCCCTGAAGTCTACTTTCATCACCTATTTTACAGCTAAATCACAATTTATCATATCTTCAATAAAAATAATCTGAAAAAATTTTTGCTTCACAGATTTTAAATCTTCTAACAGAAAAAGAAGTAAATATTGTTTTACCAACACATTCCATTATTCCAAGAACTTTTATTCTTAAACCAGGAATGGTTCTATTTTTGGGTGCTATCGGCCGCATAGATTTTCTGCAGGTAAGGAAAGTGTACTATTAAAAAAAAGAGAGAGAGATTTAGTACTGAATTTACTTTAAGGAAGAAAAGAAATGAACCCCAAAAGGTAGCAGGTTTTAAAAATACATCTTCAGTAGAATGTTTAATGCCCCATACAGCTTGGCATTTTAGAAAAGATACTCTCTATCTTGTGGTTTTGTAGAAATCATAAGTTAGACCGTTAGGGACAAGGTTAATGAACATTGAATAAATTCCACACTTACTTATATCCTATAATACACTGCCATATAGGTACACTTATGATTGGTACTTATTTATAGAGCGTCTTCTCTATCATTCAGAGTATCTATAGAACTATTCCTCCGGTAACTAAAGGGAGGAGAAAAAGGAAAATGAAATGTGTCCAGTAAAATTGAATGTAACTGATAGGTCACTGCTGTTAGCACATTTGTTGGATTTTGTGTTTAATTTGTTGGAAATTGGGTCTTATACACTTAAAACCCATATATATCTCGTTAAAGCCCACAGAATATTTTTAACCCAGCTTTATACATACTTGTTACACAGTAATTTCTTTTCTTTGATAATGAAGTTTTTTTTTAAAATGGTATCAACAAGCCTATAGAAGAAATTATAGTTTTACATAAATTGAAATATGCTGCTTCTATGATACTGTATCTCCTTTTTAGTCATTAATATACTTGAATTATACTGCCATCCCATAGCTTTATAGAGGGAGCATAATTTAGGGGTGCTGCAGGGATTGTATCTTGTAGCTAGTTTTGCAGGTTTTTAATTGTGTAAAATAACTTCTCCCTTTCTTTAGGGAAATCAGTCAGCTTGGTTTACAGTTGTGGCTTCCAATTTACTTCCAGTGCACATTACTTCCTTGGACAAGGCAGAGACTGTTTATCAGAAGCATGCGGGTCATACACTGCTCAAGGTGAGGAGACACCCGAGTAATGATTGCATGGTTAGGTGACATACACCATGCTGCTCCCACAGCCCTACCAGGACAGCCTTTGTTGGACAGAATTGTCTTTGCTAGGTCCCCTCACCATCTTCTCCCTTGAGATTCCTTGGGTTCTTATCAAGTGGGCTTGGTAAGAAAAGAAAAATTGGTTTGTACTCACCCTGGAGTAGCTTCAGGACTGCTAGCTCTAGACTACATTGCCCAGTAGTATAGCTACATGTAGCTATTTAAGTCTAAATAAAGTCACAAGGGCCTCCCCCGTGGCGCAGTGGTTGAGCACTGGGCTGTGAAGCTGCCCTCAACCTCTGCAACGCCTGTTCGATCCCCGGCCACCGGTGAGGGTCCCACATGGCGCACAGATCTCTCCTGCCGCACCCCCTGCTTCCCTCAGCAGTGTACTTCATCACTCTGCCTGTTCTGCTCCTCGCACTGGCTCTGGTGAATTCTCTTACCCTCCTGCGCGTCTGACTGTACCCAGTGCTTATATAAATAAATAAATACATCTTTAAAAATAAATAAATAAATAAAGTCACAAATAAAGTTTAAAATTCTTTACTGACCACATTTTAAATGTCTAGCTAGCCACATCATTACAGAAAGTTGATTTGGACAAAGATGAATGAAGAGTAGCTACAGATTTTCTCACAACTGGGAAATGGCCCTGGAACCCTGGAATGGAAACCAAGGCATCAAGCTTAACATCTGCTGTGTCCAAGATAGCCCCTCCCAACTAAGATTGATCCAAAATCTGCTCAAAAATGTCAGTGGTGCTGCAGTTGAGAGGCCCTGTTTGGGTAGAATCTCTTCTCAGATCCTCAATCCCAGACATCTATAGTTCACCTCTCCTCTCCTGACCTTCTTTCTAGTTCTTTCCATCAACCTGTAACTCTCTTAAAATTTCTCTCATTTTTAGAAAAACTAAACAAAACAGTGTCCTGCCTATTCCTTTTCATCAAGCTTACTTCTGCTTCTTATGTCCCATACTCTGTAGTTCCTGTTGCCCCTTACTGTGCCACTGAAATTGTTCTAAGGCAGTGAGTGGGAGCTGTTTTCAGCTCTTTTGCAAGACACATGGTTGGCTGGCATGTGTTAGGTAATAGCTAAGATCATTGGAGGGCCTCCCTGGTGGTGCAGGGGTAAAAGTCTCAGCACCATCAAGCTCTCACCAGCCACTGTGACATGAGTTAAATCCCCCACCAGGGAGCTGACCCACATGGCACAAATTCCTCTCCTATCTCACTTGCTGCTCCCTTCAGCAGTGTATTTATTCAATCTGTCTGTTCTGCTCCCCACTCTGTCTCTGGTGATTCCGCTCACCCACCAACACCCCAGTTCTTATATTCATATATTAAGGGAAAAAAATCTTTAAAAAAAAGATTTTTATTTTTTTATAAAATAAAATCTTTAAAAAAAAAAAAAAAGATCCTTGGAGCTAGACTGCCCGGGTTCAGATGCCTGCTCCACTCTACCTCCACTGAACAAAATTATATGGCTTTAGGCAAATTTCCTTTATCTCTATATTGTGTAGAGGATTGAGTTGCTGGTTACTATCCTCAGTACAATTGATGGTGGTGATGAAACACATCTGTTGCAAAAATGCCAGGCACTCTACAGAGGGGATTTAGTTTTCATTGATGCTTATACAGCTGAAAATAAATCAAAATATAAAATATAAAACCCTTCTTCAAAAAGGATTAAAAACAAGTAAACTTGACTTGAGAGGTAAATACTTCTTTCTGGCTTTCCCTAAGAAAGACCAGTATTACTGTTACAATAGCCTTCAAGTTAATAGTCCAAAGACTTATAGGATTTACAAGCTGGATGAGTGCAGAGAAGCAGCCAGCAATATAGAATATAGGATCTGTTGATTTTTCTACACTAAATTTTTCTGTTACGTTTGCTCACTTTTTTTTTTTTTTTTAAATAGAGGCATGTTTTATTTATTTATTTGTTTGTTTGTTTGTTCGTTTGTTTTGTTTATACATGCACTGGGTACAGTCAGAAGCGCGGGAGGGTGAGAGAATTCACCAGAGCCAGAGCAGGGAGCAGAGCAGGCAGAAGGACCGAAGTACACTGCTGAGGGGAGCAGTGGGCGGCAGGAGAGGTCTGCACGCCATGTGGGACCCTCCTCTGGTGGCCGGGAGCAGCTGGGAATCGAACCGGCGCTGCAGAGGCTGCGGGCAGCTTCGCAACCCAGCGCTCAACCGCTGCGCCACCAGGGAGGCCCACATTTGCTCACTTTTTAGGTAAAATATTAATATACAAGTTGAAATACAGCTTAATACTTGCATGAATGAAAACTTTTATATAACAGGGCTCTCATAAAAATGAACTCTATCACTCTAGCCCCATATAGCTGTGTAGTTTTCAGAATGAACATCACTGATACTTTCCAAAGCAGCAAGCCCTGGACTCTCCCTGGGTGACACAGATGGTTTTTTAGGCTGCTCTGGGACTCATTCTTGCATATTCTCTTACCTCTGAAGCCATAGTCCTGCCTCCTAATTATCTGAGTCCAACCTTACAGTTCAGGCTGTAATCTGCTTTCATTAGGCTGTTTTCAAGATCCTTGAATTTTTTTCCCATCTTCCAGTTTTTATTGCCCTCCTCCCATCCCACTTCAGATTCTCTAGAGCAGAGAAACACTGGTCCCAGGAGATATTTGGTAATGCCTGGAGACCTTTTTAGTTTTCACAACTTGATGGATGCTGAGTAGAGGGCAGGGATGCTGCTAAAAATCCTACTATGTACAGAATAGCCTCTTCGCTCCCCTCAAAGAATTACTAAGCCCAAAACGTCACTATTGCTAAGGTTGAAGTAAATCTTTCCAAAATACATAGCAGGTCACAGTAATCTCTTTTGTTCTTACCTCTGTTCTCTCGCCTGCTTATAATTCCTTAGTAACCTCATATAACAGAGAAGTCAGTCTAAACAGATAGCTTCATCACTAAAACACACAGAACACACCTACAAGATATACTCTGGACAATTAAACTACAGTTCCTTGGATCATCCTTTTTTCCAATTTGTGTGTCTGCACATGCTACCCCAGAACCTTTCTACCTAGTAACTTTGACCTATTTCTCAAAATGCTGGTCAGACATTTCTTTATCATTAATGTTTTCCTTGATCAATACATATTCATTGCTTCTTCCTCCCCAGCCATCTACTTTGTAGATGCCTCTCACCATGTTTCTTACCTTGAAATTTGTTTGTATGTTATTTCCACCGTCTGGTGTCCTTGAGGTTAGAAGTTATTATTCAGTTACTTTTAACTTGTGGAAGCATCTATAAACATAAAACTGAATCTTACCCATTATGCATGTCCCCTGGACTTGTAATGAGGCAGAGATTAAGCTTTGCGGCCAGCTAGGCCTATAAGAACTAAGGTATTTGGAAGTAGGTTGTCTTAATTGCCCAACGTTACTCCATGTAAAGTTTTATGGGAGGCTATAAAACAGTGTAAACTAATAAAACAAGATTCTGCTATCAGGCTGTCACTCCAGGTGCACACCCCACATGTCTCAGCTCAGAGCTCCCTGTGCCTTTTGTTTGACCTAGAAGTAATTTGGGGTTTTTTTTCCAACAATTAAATGTTTAAAAGGGGCTTATTTTGATCCCACACAGAACTATCTTATCAGTGATTTTGGGTACTGTTAATATTTACAAGGAATTTAGTTTAAATTTCCAAACATCTTTTATCTCAATGGAAGGTTCCAATGGGTGGAAAAGAGCGGATGGCAGGATTTCCCCCTCTTATTGCTGAAGACATTATAGTAGAAGGAGGACTTGGGGATTCTGAAGCTGTGGCAGACATCAAGTTTTCCTCTGCAGGTAATTCTATACCAGTCACTGTTTTAAAAGTGAATAAAGCAGCCTACTGATTGTGTATCTTATGGACAAGTATGTTAACTCACAGAAGCTGGGTGAGTTAACGTATTTTAAGAAATACGTACTAATTGATTCATAAAATACAACCTTAAATGTGTACCTTATCACAAATGCATTTTATGCTTTGTTAAAAAAAAAAAAAAAGAGGGAAAGAGAGCAGTATTCTACTTTGTTATACCATTTTGAGCTTCAGTTGGTATTTTTACTAAAATGGTTGCTAACATGATTTTGTGTTCTGTCACATGCCTTACATAGGTTGGGTTGCAGTGACACCTCAGTTGCAGGACAGACTGCACCTCCGAGGCTACACACCTCAAGGAACAGTGTTGACAGTCCGGCCCCCTCTCTTACCACATATTGTTAACATCAAAGGAAAGCGCATCAAGGGTAGTGTGGCCTATAAAACCAAGAAACCGCCTTCCCTTTTGTACAATCTGCAGACTAAGAAAAAATAGAGAAATTAATGAAGCCAACCTTGTCCATGTTGAATATTGACTACATGGAACATGGCCGTGTACATATTGTATTAGATAAAGTTACAATAAAGCTCCCTGCCTCCACACTCTTTACTGCCTGTTTGTAATGTATTGTGCTTGTTAAACACAATTTATTTCTTTGTAGGCTGCATATGTGTATCTGGGACTCAAATATACCTAAAAAGGAGTTGTGCTGCATTCAGGTTTCTCCCACTATTTTTTCTACTGAGACCAGATATCATTTATTTGGAGTCTAACTGAGAGGGCAACTTACAGTTGCATTTTTAGAATGGCCAAAAATCAATCTCTCCAAAATATAGTGTCTTAAATAAGATGGAAGTGAGTAGCTGGCTCTGCTTTGTGTAGTTACCCGAGGATCTAACTGGTAGACGTCTCTACAGGTTACTTCTCTAGCTCTGGGGCTGTGGTTCTAGTTGTCATCCTTTCCTGGCAAGTGGGAAGAGCAGAGAGGGAAGAGGAGCAGCTTCCCTATTTAGAAGGGCAGAGAGGCTGACTATTGCACACATTCTACTCCCACTCTAGACCAACAGTCCCATGGCCAGCCCACTCACAAGGAAGCTGGGGGATGTGGAGGGAAATGGGAACCACCTCAAATTTTTAGTAAGGGGAAAACAAAGGCTGGCAGACAATTTGCCTTCTACATTGATAACAACCTCCATCAGGTCTTTCCCTTTCCTTTCTTCTGGGGGGGGGGGGTAGGTTGCACTGTAGCTGTGTACTAGTCCCAAATGCTGTAGGAGAGAGAAACCTGCCTGGATTGCAGTAAAATCCATGAACTTACTGTAGACTAGGGTTTAGCAAATTTCTTAGTAGACCCATATTCTCTATCAATGTATATCCTCTGGCCCTCTTCTCACTAAGTCCTCTAAGAAGAGGGTAGTATTTAAGGTGCAACTTATGAAAACTTTGTAGCTGTCACTTTCACTGTGTTTCCAAGTGAATGCTATTGGTATTGAAGGTAGTTCTTTTTTTTTTTTTTTTTTTAAAGTGTAAAAACCCATTTCAGTTGGCAGGCGCTCTTCCTTTCCAGCCAGGATTGCCAGTGACAGTTTGCCTTGCCCCATCAGTCACTGTGATAGGCAAAAAGTACACCTCAGGGGCCTCCCTAGTGGTGCAAGGGGTTAAGACACAACCTACGAAGCTATCCACAGCCACTGCAGCACCAGTTCGATGGCCAGCCAGGGAGCTACCCACATGGCGCAGCAGACCTCTCCTGACTCACCCGCTGTTCCCCTCAGCAGTTTATTTCAGTCATTCTGCCTGTTCTGTTCCCCACTTTGTCTCTGGTGAATTCTCTCACCCCCCACACCTTTATACATCCCAGCTCTCGTATAAAGAAATAAATCTTTTATAAAAAACTAAAATAGGAAAGCAGGAAAAAGTGGCTACAACCTTGGACCAAAAAAGTTGTTCTGTGCCTAAACAGCCAAGGACTCTTGCTAGGTTCTGTTATTAATTTACTCCACATCCTGCCACCCTAAAACAGCTCAGGATCACTGCTGGCCTAATCAACTGCTCCCCAGTGGATTTTGCTTTAAGAAAGTTATGCTACCATGTTGATTTCTGACTTTCAGTCAATTTACTTCTCAATCCATTAAGCTGAGGTGAAGACTTCCCTTGAATCCAGAATCGGTTCCCTATGGCTGCACTCAGAATTTAGTGGGACCTTTGGGCCACGTAAATAGGAGAAATTAATGGCAAAGTGTCAGGACAGCCCCCTCACTTCCACAGAACAAAGAAGTTGTTTGGAGCAGCTAGATCATTAAGCAAGTCTGTACTAGGTACTTTATTTGGTTCTGCAGCTTTGTGGTGCTAAGTCAGTCACCTCTTTTGCATTCATGACACCCAAAGGAGTTTTTGACTTCTATGTGACATAAGATTCAAAGTTTTACAAGACTTTGAAAAGCCAATCATTTTTCCTCTTTAAAACAGCAGCATCTTCACTTTTAAATGGCCAGCTTTACTATGTAGTTCCTCTAAATGTTTGTTACTTGTGACATTCACTGCCCACGGCAACCAAGGAGAACTGGTGTACAGATGCAGTCCTATGTGCTTATGTTTCTTGATCATTCAGAAGTCATACGCTTCTTACAAAATGGAGATCAAGGCTAGTTTCCTGCAGATGATTAACTTGGAGCTGCAGTTGTGCCAGCCAAGGCAGAGTTGCTTCACTAAGTAGGCACCCAATGCTCAAGCTGAGGCGAGCGTTTCTGATCATTTACCCTGGCTTCCCTCCCACTTGGCTCTATCTCATGGAGCAATAGAATCATTTCCATTCTTTCTCAGACTGTTCATTTTCTCTTGGCTGCTTTCCTCCTCCCAGAGGGATTGTTTTCTCTCAACTGTCAAAGAGTAAAGCTTCCACATAAAAAACAAGACTTCAGACTCATGTGAATCAAATAGCACCTCTGCACACTCTAATGTCTATCTTGCCTGCCCCATGAATGCCCTGAAATGAGAAGGTAATGGTTCAAAATTAGTAATTTAACATTATATAGGGATGATGCCTCACTTCTTCCCTTCATGTCAAAGAACACCATTATTCCCTCATCTACTATGGGAGTTTCATGAACTGAATATTCCTAAGTATGTCTACATCAGTCTTAAAACAGTCACAACTTGAAGCCACAGGCTCCTGTTTCTCAGAAGCTTCCTTTTACATCCCAAATAATTCTGATTTTCTGTAAGAACTAATTGGATCTTAATATTCTCAGTAGATGCAACAGAATCTTAAATCAGACACTGTCAGAACCACTAGCCAGTAGCTAGAAAACAGACCACGAAAAAAACACATCTGTTAGAAAATACATCACCAGGTGATTTAGGAAGTGAAAGACTGCCGTGATTCTAACTTTTCAGCAAGTCCCCAGAAAAAACAGCAGGCATTCAGTGTGTGAATGAATGAATTAGAATGAGATGATTTTTGTTTGTTTGATTGGTTGATTTTTTTTTCCTTCATTGGAAAATAGTACCAGAGCAGACTTAAACATGCTTAGTAGCATTTACACTTAAGGGTTTCTTCCTTTTTCTGCATAAAGGCAGTACCTCATGGTAGTTGTATTTCAGACTATTCATGGCTGGTATAATTATGATTGCCTGTATAGCTTTTCATTCCTTTAAATTCTAATATTAATTGCTAGATCTTATCTAGTACATACCAGGAGCAGGCACTGTTTGAAGTGTTTTACATTTATTAACTGTAGCTGCACAATCACCTGTAGGAAGTACTATTATTACCTGCACTTACAGATGAGTAAACTGAGGCACAAGTGACTTGCCCAAGGCCATACAGCTAATAAATGGAACTGTAATTCCAACAAGCTCTTGGTTAATCATACAGCTAAATATAATTTTGAATTTTTTTTTCCCATTCAATGTATATATAGCTCTATGGATTTTAATACATGGAGAGTTGTCGAAAAACTACAGAGCAATCCTACCAGCACCCACCCATCTTTTTAACCACCATACAAAACCTCCTTGATACACAAGAATCCATCACAAATCTAAAGGTGAGACTTTCACTCTTAGATGGGAAACATGTTTTCTCAGCAAACACCTTCAAAAGGTAATTACACAATTTACTGTCACGCAATTATCTTTATAGCTTCCTTTGCAACCCAACACATACAGGTATACCCCCCCAAATGTTTCTCAGAGTATGGTTGTTCAGGCATGTGTGTGTGCTTTGTGATGTCTTACTTCAGTAACGCTAACCAAACCTAAACAAGTGTCCCAATGTGATTTTCATGTTTTTTTATCATCTAGATAGCATTAAATCAACTTTGCTTGACTGGTTGGTTGGCAACTTTTTCATGTTGCTAGTGAGCTTTTGCCAAATACCACGGATAGATAACAGCGTAAGTGTAGATTCTGACCCACAATTCAGATTAATAAAATTAGAGGCCTTCCTGGTGGCCTAGAGGTTAAGTCTCAGCACTATCACTGCTGTGTCCTGAGTTCCATCCCAGGCCAGGAAGCTGACTCACATATGGTACAGCAGATCTCTCCTGTCTCGCCCACTCTTCCCCTACACTCTTCCCGTTTTGCTTCCATTTCTGGTGAATCCTCTCACCCCCCACACCTCTTGCCTATACCCCACTTCTTCGATGCATAAATAAACCAATCTTTAAAAAAATTGTAAATCAGATGCATAGGAAATTTGAAATTCAGACATCCAGAGTTACACCATTGAACTATAGTAAAGATGACTTTTAATCCTGGCCTTACTAGTGACATAGAAGACATAGAAGTGGTGGTTCTTATTTACTCATAAATCAAAGTTTCAAAGACAAATTAGAACCTGAAGTGACCTTGACTTTTTATTTCTGTACCACTCATCCTGTTTCCTGTTCCTGGTTAAACCTTTTTCAATAAAAGGGGATCCTGATTACCCAATTAAAAGTTTTCTACTATCTCCAGTTTTTCTCCGCATTTGATAACATCTAACCTAAAGATTTTTTCCTGTCTTTGACTTTATAACTAAATACTCAATAGGAAAGGAAATTAAAGAGATAGGGACAACTTTCCTTTAAAATGTTAGAGGGCTTCCCTGGTGGCGCAAGGGGTTAAATCTCAGCCCTACCAAGACATGAACAGCCACTGAAGCATGAGTTTGATCCCCAGCCAGGGAGATAACCCACATGGCATAGACCTTTCCTGTCTCACCTGCTGCTCCCCTCAGCAGCATATTTCAGCCAATCCGCCTGTTCTGTTCCCCACTCAGTCTCTGGTGAATCCTCTCACCCCCTACACCTCTGCCCTACACCGCAGTTCTTGCATGCATTAAAAAAAAAAAAAAAATCTTTTATGTATTAACTTCATCTTTGTAAGTTTGAAGAGGCCATTTGAGAGTGTACTGGCAGGATTTGGGATCTGGGGATCTACAGGTCTCAGCAATTTTCTAGGTTCCTCTGTACATGAGCACAGCCCAAGGTCCTATCCTCTGGAGTTCATGGACACAGGATAACTGAGGTGATGCTCCTTTATTTACAGCATCCCCACAACTGTATATGAACCAAGAGATTTGCACAGTATCAAAATTTAAAACTTACACTAGTTGAAATCAAAGTGAAACACACACTATTCTTGGTCTAGATAATTAACTTTTTGACTTCTCAGTTCTATTAAATACAGCAAAGGGCCTCCCAGTGGCACAGCGGGTTGAGCACGGCACTATGAAGCTGTCCGCAACCTCTGCAGGGTGGGTTCGATTCCCGAACCGCCAGGAAGATCCACACATGGCGTGGCAGACCTTGCCTGCCTCACCCGCTGCTACCCTCAGCAGTGTATTCGGTCCATCTGCCTGTTTTGCTCCCCACTCTGTCTCGGTGAATCCTCTCACCCTCCCACGCTTCTGGCCTATAACCCAATTCTTGTATAAATAAAAAATAAATCTTTAAATCTTTAAAAAAAATACAGTAAAATCTTTTTTTTAAAAAGATTTACTTTTTTATGCATACAAGAGCTGGGGTACAGGCCAGAGATGTGGGGGGGTGAGAGAATCCACCAGAGACGAGGATGGGGAACAGAATAGGCAGACTGAAATACACTGCTGAGGGGAGCAGTGGGAGGGTCAGGAGAGGTCTGCTGTGCCATGTGGGTAGCTCCTTGGCCAGCCGGGGGATCAAACTCGTGCTGCAGAGGTTGTAGATTGCTTCATAGTGCGGTGCCTAACCCCTTGTGCCACCAGGGAGGCCCAATACAGTAAAATCTTAAGAGTGTCCTGGTACTCAAAGGAACTCAATAACTCAACTTACTGTCTATTCAATGCATCTTTCCCAAGTATGAGACAAAACTTAAGAGGCCTACTAAGACAAGTGTATTAAACACTTAAAGGGACCTAAGTGGTTAGGAAGGCACTACTATGTGACATGCTCTATGAGCTGTCCACACTGTCTCTCCCCCACCTCCACCCCACCCCACCCCAATATCCACTGAATTGTTACCTCAGAACAACAGAAATCACCATGAGCTGTCCTGACTACTGTGAGTTATATTTGGGAGAAGTAATTTTGAAAAAGTATGTTCACAATCCTAGCAAAACAAATTTGGCTTTCTTAAAACTTGATATATCAAAAATAAACAAAGGCATAAAATGCTTTTTAAAACTTTATTTCAACATAACTATGCTTACAGAAATACACTCATATTGGTTAATAGAATGCAATTTAAGTTTAACTTATCCTACACAATTTGGACCAAAAACTTGGTACATGGTTTAAGCTTTTTTAAAAACAAGTATTTGCAATCTGGTTTATTTTTCATCTACTACAAGTGAATATAAAAGATCCTCCATCAAATGCTGCTAAAGCAGGCAGCAATAACCTTGAGAAATTAACCTTTGGTTTGTCTCTGAAAAGTAACACGTATTGCACTGTAAAAGTATATAAAATTGGTGCAACAAAACATTGCTGTAATGTTTCAACGCCAGCTTACAAATTTCAATAACTAATGGATGTTTAAAAGGGTAGAGAGCGCCTATGTACACTTATGAAACTGTAAAAGCTATGTGATTTAGTTACTATTGCATGTAGATTGCAAATCTACACAAACCAAGATTCAGATAACTTCTTGAATCTGAATTAACACTATCAGCTCAGTTTATCTGCTGAGGTCAACAAGGGAAAGACACTTTTCCTCCCTTATGCAAAAAAGAAAACTTTCTTCCCCAGGTTTTCAGTCCAGAACTGATATACTACAGTCAAGTTATTCCTTCCACTGTCAACATTCATGTGATGAGGTCTACTTGGGTTTAAATTTGTATTAGCACTCATATGCATAACAGCCCCCAAAGTCAGAGACCACATGAGTTTAGAAATGACGCTAGAAAAAATAATAATAAAATGGTCCTTCCTGGAAGACTAGAGCAAAACATCCAGCCATAATTAGAAGAAGCCTTATCAAAAAATGTAGCCCATTGTAAATTATACTTCAAAAAGAGTAGCCCAAAGCAGCAGCTCTGAAAAGAGGAAGAAATATAACTTAAAATATCTTGAAAAACCAATGTGAATATAGGTTCAAAAGATAAGAGATACATTTTCATAAGACTACCTAAGATTAGGCTTATAATGTATTCTAGCATTTCAAGTTTATTTCTAGTTACTAAATATCACTTTACAAATAACATGTCCACTTTTAATTCTTTTATCAAAAGGGGAAAAAATTCTAGCTTTAATTCTATCCAGTGGAGGGAAAACTGAGAAAACAAAAGGATTCAAACAGTTCCATGCAAATATCACATTTTTCAAATGGAAGAACTCCCAACTAAAACAGAAGTTCACATTATAAATGTTTTTCATTGAAACAATTTTTAATAAGTACAAACACATGGCATTAAGGTTCAGAACCTAATATAGGCCTGACAATCAAGTCCTTGTTTTCTGGAAGAAAGGCCTCAAATTCCACTTAATTTCCAGTAACAATGTTTTCACAGATCAATTTAGCAATATGGGGTTTAAAATTTCTTATTTTTGAATTCTAGTCTTAAAACTAGATAATAAATCAGTCCAATTCCCCAGAAGTTAATTTGTCTTTTGTAGAATGAAAGAATCCACAAAACCTCTAAACTGATTGCCAATTTCTAATCTGTACTTAACATGAATCTTTTCATATATAACGTAAAAGGGTAACTTACGTAAAATGTACCATGAACATTAAAACTAGTTGTTAGAAAGATTTAACTAGCTTTATAATTTAACTTTTAATACATAAATATTTGCAGCTTGATCTTCTGTTGACAATGATTGTCGGAGCTGAGAATTCTACATCATTTACTAATTTCCATTCATGCACACAAAACACACACCATTAACACACACTTAACTCCTCATGTCTTAAGAGAATATTCTGCTTCTTTAAATCTTTGGCCTCCCAGTCAATTCAAATGTCCTGTAACTCAAACTTCAACCTCAGATTTTCCACCCACACTTCAATACCTTTCCCAATCTTTCTTGGTGTACTACCAAAATATGAAAATTGCCTCAAAGAAATCAATAGGGGAAAAAAATGAAATTATCAGCTGGCTATTTCAGAATAGAACATGGGAGATCAGAATTAGTCAAGATTCCCTACTGGGGTCATACTTTGTTCTACCACAATGAATTACTTACCAGCAAGAAAAATCCTATGTTGGATTCTTTCAAATTCTTTGGCAACTAACCAAAGAACCTACCAGAAAAAGCTTGGGAGTACAACCCCCTTTTTCATATGAAGTGCTCCCACAGGAACACCAGGATAGCTGCAATTCATTTGAGGCCTCACCTGTAGAAAGAGGCTGTCACAGAGACAGCCAGGACACCCACTAGTTTGTGGAGATCCCTGAGAAAGTGTGATTTTTCTAAAAATCTGGACCGTACTTAAGTTTCAACAGGCTTTTCATTGTATTCATAGGAAGTAGCAGCTGGTCTACCAGCAGTCATACTACCTTTCTGATCCTAAGTTTTCAGTATAATAGCTATGGCTTTGGAGTCTCCTAATATTATGTATAACTTGGAGTAATTATCTCTCCTAATTCCAGGTTTGCAGTTCACGATTCAGCTGAGTAGCCAGAAAGATACCAACCATCTATGTAAAAACATTTTCCTCAAAGATATGACTGAACATTTAGGAAGTATATTTTAGGTACCAAAATAGGTCAAAAAAATTTACTGATGGTTGGCATTGAGATAAAAATCCGCTCTATATATAACCTAGTGGTTCATTTATTGCAATGTTCAAACTAAGAGCTGTGAATTTACTACATCCATTTAAAATAAATAATTTATATGAATACAGATTCTGGCATAGATATGATGTGAAAAAATCAAAGGACTGAACCTATGTTTCATTTGCTCACAAACTTGCACACACTATTCTGCAAAAAAGACAAATGCAGCAAAGGAAAAGAAAACTGCCCTTTTGCAAACAATACTAAAAAGCACCCCTCCAAAGAGGCCAAAATAAACATGCATATATATGTATAAAGTGTTACTGTTCAACACAAATGCTATATCTAGAAAAAATTTAACTGCATAGGTTAAAAAAAAAAATGTGCAACATTTTAAGCCATTAAAGCACCAAAAAAAAAAAAAAAAAAACCCAAACCACACCAAAATCATTGTTTTTACGACAATTTAACACACACAAATAAGAAATATTGATCAAAACTCAAAGTAAATACCTGGACTAATACAATGTCCATTGTTGGGAGAAGTTTTCCTCAATTTAAATGTCTCTTTTCATCTCTAAAAAAATTTTAAAGTGCTAACTTTATATAAAGCAGGCAAATCTTTCAAGTAATTTGCTATTTATGCCAATTTTTATAGCGCTAAACAAGAAACTAAGAATAAGTGAAAGTAAAACAGGAAGACTGACATGAGAAAAAACAGTTACAGCTGGACAGAGCAACAGAATGCTCTAACACCATCTTGGCCTTCTTTTAATTAAATGAACTAACAGATTTAGGTGTCTGCTGGTTTAGTAGACTAACTCCCTTGGATTTGCTAAAATGTATACATTAACAAGTAAACAGAGTCCTAAGAAAAGAGTGCCATTTAAAAAAATCAACACTGGACACTAATTAAAGCGATTTTAAAAATGAAAGGATATTGACTAGTATAAATGAATATAAAATGTAGTAGATCTTACAAACTAAGAACTGAAGCCTTGTCCAAAGTTTAATTACTCCTGTCCTTTAGCTGCTTTTTCTAAGAAGTATACATTGACCAAATGGCGATTGAGGTGTTTGCTGTAATCTTTTTCCTTCCTAAAAGACCGATCGCAGAAAATACAAACAAAATCTCCCTCAGCCTCTTTGACTGTCAAGGCTTCCTTTCCATTTTTCCTACTATTTTCCTGTGGAACTGGCCGAGCCCCATTCAATCCAGAATCATCACTACCCTCTGACATGTTGTCACTGAGGTCACTTCCATCATGACTATGGATGCCTTCATCTTCATCTATTTCCTGAGACTCATTTACTGCTGTAGTAGCAGGAGGGGATGCCACGGCGGTTTTGGACACTGCTTCGTGCTGTTCCATTGGGAGAGGAAGCAGCAGTGGTGAAACTGGTTCTTCACATGCTATGTCTTGATCAAGTAGCTTCTCTTTTTTGTTCTCATCAGTGTCCACTTCCATTTCCATTTCGGAAAGCACAGTGTCAGCCTGATGCTTACCATCTAAAGTTTCTTCCTCCGGCATATTCAAGTTTTGTTCAGAGGATGAAGTATTGGTAGATTCCTCTGTAATAGCAGCAAGACCAGCAAGACTTTGATCTGCCTCTTCTGCTTCTTTTTCAAGAGGGGATTCTTTATTTCCTTTGCCTTCTGTGACTAATTTTTGGTCTTTTGACTCCTCTTTTAAGTTTTCCTTTGGCAGCAGTGGAGAGGGTGGTGAGGGGCTCTGTGCACCTGCGCTCTCCTTGAGAAGCTGGCTATCTTTAACAGGCACTAGGCCAACTTCAATGAGAACTTGCTCCTTCCGTGCCATTTCACTCTGCTCATTACATTTTTCTTTCTTATCTTTTCGAGGAGACTTTTTAGGAGTTGCCTCCATCTGAACAGGCGGAGACTTTTTAGGAGTTGCCTCCATCTGAACAGGCGGAGACTTTTTAGGAGTTGCCTCTATCTGAACAGGCGGTTCCGTGGGAGGAAGAGGTTCCATCTGAACAGGGCCCTCCTGAACAACATCCATCTGAGCAGGCCCCCCAGCAGCAGGAGGCTCTGTCTGAGCAGGCTCCACTGGAGGAGGCTCAATGGGAGGAGGCAGCTCTGTCTGAACAGGCCCCACAGGAGGAGGCTCCCTCTCAGCAGGAGGTTCCCTCTCAGCAGGCTCCTGTGGGACGGTCTCCTTCTGAGTAGGCTTGCTGTTTTTTTTATTTGATTTATTTTTCTGAGTTTTCTTCTTTGTATTTTTTTTCACACAAGTACTTTGCTTTTTACTCTCCTCTACTTTACTATCACCTTTTGGGACTTCCTGACTATTTGGAGATTTGCTTTCTGCCTTCTTTTTCTTTTTTGTCACAGGTTCTTCATCATTAACAGGATACTGTGAGGAATGGGCTTCAGTTTCCATCTTCCTTTTGCTTTTCTTGGTTTTGCACGTTTTTTCTGAACCACTTCCTATATGCGCATCCACATCTTTAGCTTCTATTGCTGATTTGCGAGTTCTGGTAGTCACATGAGTTGAGGCATTACTAGAAGGCTTTTTCTCTTTTGAAACATCCTTTTTCTCCACTTTTACAGACTTCTCACTTTTCTTACCAGCCACATCCCCCTTTATTTTTGTCTGCTCTGTCTCTGTTTTTACATTGGTAACATTGTTATCAGGCAAGTCAGCCTCTCGCTTTTTGGTTTTCTTTAGTTTCACTTTTGAGACATCCATTGTTTTATTAGGACAGGTAGGATGCTTAGATTTGAAGTGATACTGCAGATTACACTTCTTAGAAGCCGCATAGTTGCATACAGGGCAATTGAACTGCCGTGGATTAACATGTAACTCGACGTGTTTTTTGAAGTTACTTCGATCTGCTGTTTTGTAGTCACAGTGTGGGCAGTTAAGAGGTTTAGGCCCATTGTGAACCTGTCTTGCATGTCGGGTTACTTCATGTTGATTAGAGGCCACATAACTGCACTGATCACATTTAAATGGCTTCTCACCTGAAGGTAAACAAGAGATGTTAGAGAAGAGATAGGCCAAGAAATTATTTCAAGCTTTTATTAAAATACACATAAGGAATTGGATGTCAAAAAAAAAGCTATTTATTCAAAAACTATCATGCACCTTACTTTTACCATATTTATTTGTCTGTCTTTTCTCTATCCCTTGACATAATTCTCAAATCAAATGGAAGTATAACTATCTCAGTTAATTATTATGTCCTAAAAAGTTCATCAAGCTAGGGTTCTCAAGTCCTGTTAAAGAACAGAGATCCATCAAGAAGCATACAATAATTATTGGTAGTTTGTTGTCCCAGATGTTAATTTTGGGACAAGCACACTCACACAGAATTAAATTTTTAGTTTAGTTTTAAAAAAAAAAATGTATAATGGAATATAAATCTTTCATGTATTTTTAAGACAAGTCTTAAGATACTTCAAAGAAATATCTTAAACACTAATCTATGCTGTCAGAGCTTTTGGAGCAAAAGTTTTAAAATAATGCCCTAGTCACAGTGAATAAAATATTCTTTACATTTAACCCTTCGTCCAACATGACAAGAGCTGGGTTAAATTTTACTCAGCCAACTTTTCTAATGCCAGAGTTGCTATTTTAAGTATTGCCAAATCAGAAACTATTTCTTGATTGCCCCGCCACCCCAACCTTCTTCTAAAAGACAGTAGGTAAATGAGAAAGAACATACAAATAGATATGGTATTTAAAATTAAGATAAGCAAACAAAGTCATAAACACGTATAAAACCAACCACCCCCAAATGAAAAGCATAATAACAACACATTCTACCTGAATACATACCCATCTAGAGCACATTTTAGTAAATATTACCAAATGGTATCCATACCCCACTGGTCCAATGGAATGCATAGTAGAAAAACGGAAATTGACATTTATGAAAATTAATGTCAAACATTCTCAAATTCCTACAAGTCTTACTTAATTTTTTCATAAAGCAAAACTCCTCAGACATTATGCAAAACCATGTAGATGGTACATGTTATGTGACTGGAAAATGTCTGATAAAATAACGAAATCACACACAAAAAACCCCAAAACTCATCCAGCTAAGTCAGATGAAATATGCAGCTAACAGGACAACTTTTTTCTATGTTGATTCATTAATAGATCCACATTACTCATATACTTGGCCCTATCTTGTCGCCTCCAATTAGTATGTATAGGCACAGAATGGGGAAAGTTAAGCGGCATAATGATTAAAAAATTATTCTAGAGTAAGAATATCTGGTGAGTCAAGTATGAACTCTAGCACTGTGAGATCTCAATCAAGGTACTAAAAAAGTGCTAATGCTCACTTTCCTTATCTATAATATTCTTTTAGTGTTATGGACTATAAATAATCTAGAAGTTAGCATGGAACAGATAGCCAAGCAGTCCATACGCATTACTAATAATTCAATTTTGGAATGTATCTGGTAATTTTTAGTATAAGTAAACAAAAGTCAGTCACGTGCTTATCCTGCCTTTCCTTATAAACCCAACCTCTAACCCAACCTCTAAGTAAACAAATAGTTGACAAGTGGAATTTATCTCTTTGTAATAAAAGAATTATAAACAAAATATTATCGGGGCCTCCCTGGTGGCACAAGGAGTTGGGACGCAGCACTTTGAAGCTGTCCGCATCCACTGCAGCACCAGTTCCATCCCCAGCCAGGGAGCTACCCACATGGAGCAGCAGACCTCTCCTGTCTCACCTGCTGCCCCCTCAGCAGTGTATTTCAGACAATCCGCCTGTTCTGTTCCCCACTCTGTCTCTGGTGAATCCTCTCACCCCGCCCCATACCTCTGTCCTGTACCCCAGTTCCTGTATGCATAAATAAAATTGATGTTAAAAAAATATATATTATCATCTTCTAACCCCTAATGAGTGATGGTGTTTACACAAGTCTCACTTATGAAATGGACAGACTGGGAAGATACAAGAATTTATTTAAGGGGTGGGGCCTCCCTGATGGTGCAAGGGGTTAAGTCTCAGCACTATGAAGCTATCAGCAGCCACTGCATCATAAGTTTGATCCCCAGACAGGGAGCTAACCCATACGGCACAGCAGACCTCTCCTGTCTCACCTGCTGATCCCCTTCACAGTGTATTTCAGTAGATCCGCCTGTTCTGCTCCCCATTCTGTCTCTGCTGAATCCTCTCTCTCATACACACATGCACACACACCACACCCCTGGCCTACACCCCAGTTCTTGTATACATAAATAAATTTTTTAAAAATCTTTAAAAAAAAAAAAAAGACTTAAAATGTTCTTTTTGGTAGAAGTCAAATTATCATGAGGAGACTATGTAAACTAAGGAAAGGGTAAGGAGGGGACTCTCATAAGTGTGGTGAAAAATGTTCCACATCTTCATTTAGGTGGAAGTCGGAGAGGTAGAAAAAACATACCTAAAGCTATACTTAGTATGTGCATTTTCAATTATGTAAATCAAGCCTCAAAGAAATTCTGTTTGCAGACTCAAACTGGGGGAGCCTCCCTGGTGGTGCAAAGGGTTAAGTAGCAGCAGTATGAAACTATCTGTAGCCACTGCAGCACCAGTTCCATCCCTGGCCAGGGAGCTACCCACATGGCACAGCAAACCTCTCCTATCTCCACCGCTTCTCCCCTCAGCAGTGTATTTCAGTCAGTCTGCCTGTTCTGTTCACCACTCTGTCTCTGGCGAATCCTTTCACCCCCCCCAGCCCCCAACACCAGCCACTGTGGCAAGAGTTCCATCCCTGGCCTACATGGCACAGCTCTCCCGACTTGCCCGCTGCTCCCCTCAGCAATGTATTTCAATCTGCGTGTTCTGCTCCCCACTGTTTCTGGTGAATCCTCTTACCCTCCGCATATCTGGCCTGTACTCCAGTTCTTGTATGCATAAATAAATAAATCTTAAAAAAAAAAAAAAAAGACTCAAACTCAAATATCTTTTTTTTCTCACCCCCACCCAACACCAAGTATCTTTTACATAAGCCCAGCTATTAAAATAGCACTCATTTACTTATCATTAAATACTTCAAAGGAAAATAAATTTGTTGCTGAACAAAATACTTTTCCATCTTAGAGTAACAAATGGAGGTACAACTTGGCAAGTTACTCTTTTAATAAACAAACATTCACTAGACTCAAAACACAAAAACATTAAAAATCAACTCCTAATACTAGAAAGATGGATAACTAGCCAGCATCACATATTCAAAGATACCATAAGGGCAACTACAAACTGGATGCATTTTATCCAGTAGTAAATATTTCATCCAAGTTTAAATAGTAACATCCCCTCTAGGAATAGTAAAAGGACAGTGTCCAGCACTACCCAAGTAACAATACCAAGTCTAACACCATTAGGGGAAAACACCAACAAAATGAAAAATATCGGTAGGTAAATGCGTCTATAAAACATCCAATTTTCTTTTTCACCAAAAAGAGCATTCCAATCCCTTAATTTTACCTGAAAAGACCTACTATATGGACAAAAGTGTTCCAAGTAAATAACCAGTGTGATTTTGTTGCATAAAATCCAGAAAGGATGGAATAAAATTTTAATCCAAGAGTAACAGGGGCATACAAACTGATAACTACTCAGAAATAAAAACAAAGTTCTGATAAGCCAATTTCTGTCATTTAAAGTATACCAACTGAACAGAACCTAATCTCTTTTATAATTAAGACTGTACACACTTCTTCCCTAAAATATATTCACATGAACGAGAAACAAAATGCTCAAGCTGACCTGTAAAGATCAAACTTCAGACCACAGAGAAGGTACCCAAGTCATTCATTCAGTCCATGTAATACAGTCAGAAAAACTATCCAATTTGACCTAACTTCACTTTATTGCAAGTGTTATACCACACATTCATACACAAAAAAGACTAACTTAACTGGGCCTTCCTGGTGGCGCAAGGGGTGAGGTCTCAGCACAATGAAGCTAACTGCAGTCACTGCAGCATGAGTGAGTTGGAGACCCGGTCAGGGAGCTAACCCACATGGCACAGCAGACCTCTCGTCTTGACTGCTGCTCCCTTCCTTCAGCAGTGTATTTCAGTAGACCTGCCGATTCTCCCCTCTCTGTCTCTGGTGAATCCTCTCGCCTCCCCCACACATACACACACCTCTCTGGCCTATATCCCAGTTCTTGGATCCAGAAATAAAATAAATTTTAAAGAAAAAGACTAACCATGTTTGTTTCCTATTTGACACTCACAAACTACTGGCATAAAGACAGTGACTGTTTCTCTCAATACATTGTGCTTCCAATTTCTTTATGTTGTAGCTTCTTGAGCCATTTTCTGACCATGTTCTTTTTAACACTGTTGCTTAGGGAAAATGGGTGTGGGCAAATCTGTGGCCAAATTACAGTTCTTCTACTTTGGAGGAATGACAACGTTAGAGAAAGCATTTATCCTCTCTAAATTCATGCTTTAATAATGTGTAAACAGGAGTTAAGTCTTTTAGGAATACTCAATTTAGAGATAAATTCCAACTTTTTAGTAGCCTCCATGCATATAATAGTATCTACTATTCATTAACAGACATGAACTTGAATAGCAGTTACTGAAAATCACCATATAGCAAATAAAATTTAAAAAATTAAAAAGAGCAAATTCAAAATCATTCAGGCAAAAATTTAAATGGTATAGAATACTACAAATATATACAATGATGGAAGTATTATCAATTCATGAAAAGATTAAAGTGAGTCATTCTAAGCCAATAACTTAGCAACACTAGTAATACATCAGCCAGATATGACTTCAAATGCAATACAATGACAAATAGTATTAAAGCAGATAATTCAGTGGGATAGGAACAGAAGAAAAATTATAGGACAGCATTTAAAAAAGCATATTTAAGTCAGATAAATCCAGAAGGGGGACATTCTACAGGAAAGATAACCATACTTCTCCAATGAGTTAGAGTCCCCACTTGTCAAATGGGGACAACTGCAGAACATATACATTATAGGATAAACACGAAAATGAATTAATTCATGTAAAACTCTTAAATGCTATCAACAGGGTAAGACCCCATCTTTAACAAAACCTGGGAAAACATCCAAGTTACCCTCAGATAATGAAACTAGGGAAGTGCCTGAAAGTAGTTAAAATCAGGTTTCTGAATAGTGACCCAATTCAATAACAGGAGATTTAGAAAAAAATCACTCAAAATATATTAACATTTATAGGCAAGTAAAGTCAAAGAGAGGCCAGCAAGGATATACTTTGTTACCCTTTCAGCTCAAATCAGAACCTATACTGTAATTAATTCTTACTCAATCACTGACTTAAGACTTAAGATAGCAAAGTCCCACAAAAACAAAATGCAAGCAAAATTTTAAATTTTTTATTAGTTACAAAGTAGAAGAAACAGGTAAGATTAATTTCACTAGTGCTACCCAATCAAGCAACACAAATTTAAGGTAATTGTTAAGGGAAACAGGTCTACACAGATTTTTGTAAAACAAGATATTAAGCATTGTTCGCCCATAGAGGTACAGTCTATTCCAAATCAGACATGGCAATTTACTCAGGGTCAATCATGGTCAAAATGAAGTAACTGTCAACTCAAGACCACCTATGCTAGTATACACTTTTTAACTTGGCCACCTTCATAACCTTGATAATGGAGACCAATTCTGGTTGGTTGTTATGATTAAGTCTGGAATGGATGAATGTCCCACTTGTTATAATACTCCTGCATGTTTTCTAATGTAGGTTAATAAACTGGTATGTTGGATTATTTATTTATATATATATAGATGTCATTCTATAAAGTTGAGCTTTTAGAAATTAGTCCACAGAAGCACTAGCAATACTCAAGAGAACCCACATTTCAGTACTGAGAAGCTAAAAAGGAATACATGGAACCTGGTAATCATGTACTATGCAATTTGGTTTTACACTGTGCTGGGGGCATGAGCAGGGGAGGAAGAAACACTATTAAGGTAAGAGCTGTTCAAAAAGGACTCAGCCTTCATCTGAGTATAATTTCAATGAACTTACTGAAGATTTGAAGATTCAATGCAAATTAAAGATACCTCCTACCTCACACCAGAAAAAGCACACACATATTTACATTGTTTTAAGAGTCCCCAGCTATGAAATTCTTAAGAATTTCCATTTAGGGGCCTCCCTGGTGGCGCAAGGGGTTAAGCACCACACTATGAAGCAATCCACAGCCTCTGCAGCACAAGATCGATCCCCAGCCAGCCAGGGAGCTTCCCACATGGCGCAGCAGACCTCTCCTGTCTTGCCCGCTGCTCTCCTCAGCAGTGTCTTTCAGTCAGTCTGCCTGTTCTGCTGCCTACTTTGTCTCTGGTGAATCATCTCACCACCCGCATCTCTGACCTACCCTAGCTCTTATATGCATAAATAAAAATAAATCTAAAAAAATAAAGAATTTCCATTTAAACATAACACCACACTTAAGAGAACAGTGATTTTCAAGACTAATTTACATTAAAGTATAATCATAAATAATGACTGAATTTTAGGTATAGAAGGATTTCCTTATAAAGGAAGTTTACTAACAATGATAGAAAAGTTTCCATTTCTTACCAACCTGAATGAGTACGCATATGTCTAGTTAGATGAGTCTTCTGAGAACTTGAGTAAGGACAAAGTTCACATTTATATGGGCGTTCTCCTGCAAAAAACATTAGTTTTTAGATATGATAAAATAGGGTAAATACAATTCTCACTAACAGTTATACAACATTCAGTACTAAGCATTTCTGAACAATTCTTATTCCTGACAAGAGTTAGGTTAGCCATATAAATTATTTAATTCAGAATTCACATTTTGCCGACCAAAAATGTCACTGGCATTCTGGATACTCACAGCCCTTTTAATTTTCACAGTAATACCACATACTATATTAAATATTAAGAACTGAGTAATTATCTTTATAAGGTATCAAAAAGCATTCTATTCTAATTAGAATTATCCTTAAAAAAATTTACCCAAATTTTCTGAAGTTACGATTTAGGGGATTTTTTTTCTTAATGCTTGTAAATGATCAATCTGCCATTTGAAATTACTTGCTTAAAGCAAGAACACTTTGAGTGGGGGTGTGGTTGCATTAAGCTGTTTTCCAGTGATAGATATCATTTTCATAAAATAGTCAGGTCAGGGCTAAAACAAGTTATACTATGAAGCTGTAAGAATTGAAAACAACTAAAGATGAGATGTCAATGATTTACTATTTATGACTCAAAGGAAGGAATTACACACGTATTCTTTTTGGACATGGGTTGCCAATCAAAAACCAGATTGATCCCTGGTGGTGAAGGGGTTAAAGACAGAGCTATCAAGCAAGCTACTGCCAGCCACTGCAACACAAGTTCCATGCCCCGGCCCAACCCACATGGCACAGCAGATCTCTCCTGACTCTCCCACTGCTCCCCTCAGCAACATATTTCAGTCAGTCTGCCTGTTCTGCTCCCCACTCTGTCTCTGGTAGATCCTCTCACACCACCACCCCCATCTCTGGCCTGTACCCCAGCTCTTGTATACATAAATAAATCTTAAAAAAAAAAAAAAAAAAAAAAAGCTTGACAATTTGTGCAAACCACCGCCACCGCCCCGGCCTTAAACTCTGTCTCTATTGGATCCTCTCAGCCCCTGCACCCCAGTTCTTCTATGCGTAAATAAAAAAACAAAAAAGCCTGACAATTTGCTTTCATCTAATATTTAGATACTGGACAGTAATTATGACCTGGGAAAGTTACTAAAAACTCAGTTTCCTCGTAATGGTATCTTCACTTCCTAAAATTGTTAAGATTTTATAAATTAAGATTAAATGCAGAGTCTGGCACTAGTGAAGCCCTTAATAAATATCAATTATTATCCTATCTCTAAAATAAGACACAATAGGGTGTGACATTAAATGGGACAAGGAATAAATGGAGTGGAGGAAAAAAATAACGTGGTTGTGAGTGGGAAATGTTTCTAACAACTGTTCAGCTGTAATTAGCTGTTAGCCATGAGATTACCTATAAATAGCAAAACAGTATTTTGAACTGGAAGAATTTTAAAGTAACTTTAAAAACCGTAACTGTATTTCTACAAAAATACCCAAATGCTTCTGCCCTCCTCTTACTTCACAGGTGCCTTTTTCTTTCACCTTGTCTAAAATGTAAAAACAAACCAAATGGCCAATAAGCACATGAAAAGATGCACAATATCATTAGCCATACATTGTGGCAATGCAAATACAAATCAAAACCACAATGTGAGGAAGACTACATACCCACTAAAATGACTAATCAAATACAGATGTCATTTATTAGTTAAGATGTAGAGAAACTGGACCACTTCCACTGGTGGGATTGTAAAGTAACAACAAATTAGGAGTTCCTCAAATGATTAAAGTTACTATTTAGCCTACCAATTCCACTCCTAGGTATATAATACTCAAGAGGAAAAAAAAAAAAAAATGTCCACTCAAAAACCTGTATATAAGATATTCACAACAGCATTATTCATCATAACCAAGAAATAGAAACAATCCAAATACCCATTAACTTATGAATGGATAAACAAAATGTGTATCCATACAACAGCATATTATCTGGCAATAAAAGGAAAACAAGTACTGTACATACAACACAGGTGCACCTTAAAAACATTATGCTACGTGGAAAAACATAGTAGCAAAGAATTACATATTATATGATTCCATTTATGTGAAATAGCCACAATAGGCAATCCACAGTGGAGTATAAGGTGTACATATAATAAAACTGATAAACAAAAAAAGTTAACAGAAGAAAATGAGATACCATTATAGATTATCATGAAGGTTGAGTTAAGAATAATTTTCTTATAAATTCTTTACAACAGAATAAATTATTCTAGTTGTATAAATCTACAAATCAGGCATAAACACTAGAAATCAGTGATTTTTCAGGTCCACATGTAGGCTAATTGTCATCCTTTAAAGTAGTATGTGTGAACTGGTTTAACTATCCAAGCCAAGAAATTAAAAACCTATAAATGAAGACTCAAATGAAAATAATCTTCAACCCTTACACCAAGACAATTAGCTATAAAAAGAAATTCTGAACTTTAACTCTTACTTCGGTATGACTCTGGGGGCACAGGCTTTCAAAGCCTTTTGTTTTCCTCTCAGTAAAAATGGGCTACATACTTACATGGTTTTCCTCAATGGGCTATTCTGAAAGATTAGCACAGAACAGAAGAAAGCACCTAACAATGGCACTCAATAGAAGAACAAAAGAAACCTATTCAGTAAATCTGAAAACTAGGGTACCTAAATGAGAAATAAGTTTCTTATCTCCACTTTTCATTAGATGAATATATTTTTCCATAACTTTCTAAACCATGCATTTAACACCAGATAGTCTCAGAATTTACATAATCAAAATATTATCCACTATATATCAAATTGTTTCCAAATTTTTTAAATTATAAATTAAAAAAGTTACAAGTAAGATAATACTATGGGAGAAAAATGTTTCCAAAAAGCATTAAAACCAAAAAAAGTTTTACCATAAAATAAGATTCACTGTGGAAATACCAACCTTAATGTGGGGAAAAAAGTAATGGATGGTTAAAGTTTATGAAATATATCCACTAAAAATTAGTCACCCAGACTGTATTAGATGAAAACTCTATAACAAAAAAATTAAGAAATTGCAAAAATAGTTCGTATCTAAAAAAACCTTTGCATAAAAAAATTGGAAGTTCACACCAAGACTGAAATTTTTCCAGCTCTCTGTTTTCCTTTTATTCTAAAAATATCCTTAAATAGACAGATTTAGATCATCAAAAAAGTTTTACCTTTCTGAGAAATTTTTCTAACTGTTCAAAGATTTACAAGTTCTGAAGTTATCAAAATCAACTGAAAAAAATAAAAATTCAAAACTATTTCAAAATATCAAAATTCAAGACAAAGGCACTGGGGAGCTGGTGATATTCTCTAACATTGACTTTCAGGGTGGTTGGGAGTATATATACTTGTAAAAATTCATCAAGGTAGTACACACGAAAGTTATGTACTTGATCATGTCATAGTTACTACCTTGAAACCTCCTTAGTGTTTATTGCTAATTCTAAAATTAGGCCCCAACGTTCTTAAAAACTGTTAAATAAAGGTGGAGGTAGGGGACTGATGACCACACATGAAGCACTCACAGACCAAGTACATATGACTAGCTGGGGGAGGTTTTAGATACTAAGGGGAGGTTACAGGGGATATTACACTGAAGTTAGTTTAGTGATTAACTTGGGGGTGGGGTGGGGTGTAACTTTTGCTCCTACACTGTATTTTTTAATGTTTGAACCTCTTTGGAAAGAAAATGGCTTCAATTCAGATTATAATTCCAAAAGGACAAAAACAAATTATTTTACTTAACTAGATTTTAAAGCTTTAAATAAGGTGCCATGTGCCGGAGCTTAGAAATCTTGCTGCAAGTCTTTTCTTGCAATAGAATTTCACTGTTTTAAGTCCAGCACTTAAAAGCATAGTGCTATCAATTCCTCTCCCCACTCTGCCCCAATTTTACGTGTAGAATTTCATCCTGGGAGGAAAAAAAAGGAAGCTGATGCAAATAGCATTCCACAGCACCTTTTCAGTTGTGATTAGGAATACAGTCCTTGATTATCCCATTTTGTTAAGACCAATGATCACTCCACAAAGGTATCAACTCTGACCAAGAAAAATGTTACAATTAACTACCAATTACAAACATTGCTTGCAAAAATAAGACCCTTTAATTACAAAGTTTTGAAAATCAATTTAAAAGTGAATTAAGGGGGGGGCCTCTCTGCTGGCACAATTAAGTCTCAGCACTATGAAGCTATCCATAGCCACTGTAGCACAAGTTCAACTGCCGGCCAGGGTGCTACCCACATGGGGCAGCAGACCTCTCCTGTCTTGTCTGCTGCTCCACTCAGCAGTACATTTCAGTAGATCCACCTGTTCTGCTCCCCACTCTGCCTTTGGTGAATCCTCTCACCCCACCACCACCCCCACCTCTGGCCTATACTCTAGCTCTTGTATGCATAAATAAATCTAAAAAAAAAAGTGAGGGCCTCCCCAGTGGCGCAGCGGTTGAGCGCTGGGTTGCGAAGCTGCCCGCAGCCTCTGCAGCACCAGTTCGAACCCCGGCTGCTCCCCGGCCACTGGAGGAGGGTCCCACATGGTGGGCAGAACTCTCCTGCCACCCGCTGCTCCCCTCAGCAGTGTACTTCGGTCCTTCTGCCTGCTCTGCTCCCTGCTCTGGCTCTGGTGAATTCTCTCACCCTCCCGCACTTCTGACTGTACCCAGTGCTTGTATGAATGAATGAATGAATGAATGAATGAATGAATAAATAAATAAATAAATAAATAAATAAATAAATTATATTTAAAAAAAATGTGAATTAAGGGGGCTCCCTGGTGGCCCAGGGGTTAAAGTCTCAGCACTATCAAGCTATCTGCCAGCCAAACCGCGGCCAGTGACCTAACCCACATGGCACAGCAGACCTCTCTGTTCCCCTCAACAGTTTATTTCAGTGGATCCACCTGTTCTGCTCCCCACTGTCTCTGGTGAACCCTCACCCCCCACACCTCTGGCCTACACTCTAGATCTTGTATGCATAAATAAATAAAAATAAATCTTTTAAAAAATAAAAGTGAATTAAGGAATGTTGGGGAAAAATAAAAACGAATCACTAAGATAAGGAGTTTTCCCTTTGGATGAAGATGTCATAAAACTGACTGTGGTGATGGCTGCACAACTCTGATTATACTAAACCCCCTGAATTACAGCTTTAAATGGACCGTGTGGTAGTAGTGGAGTACATTTCAGTAAAGCTGTTATTTTTAAAAACTGAATCACCAAATGTGACAAAATATTGACAACTCTTAAGTATAGGTGTTGGGTTATATGTTGGTTTACAGCTGGAGATTCTCTTTACAGCTGAGATAAGCTGAAACTTTAAGACTTCCATTTTTTTTTTATAGTGCACCTATACTTTTCTTTATATAATAGTACCATAATCTAACTTAACTCAATAGTCCTCTATCCCAAGTTCTTACACTATGTATTTTGGGTAAAAGCATCAATAAAATGTCTCTGGCTGTTTCTCCAAATAACAATCAGTGCTTTATTATTCCTTCACTTAATCTTCCAATTCTATATGTTATTATCCCTATGAAGAAACTTAGAAAGAGATTAAATAGAACTTTATCAAGTCCCCAAAGACAGCAAGTAATTGAATCAAAATTTGAACCAGAGTCCCTTTCCTTACCCAGTCTACTATCAAAAGTGAGTTGAGGGCCTTCCTGTTGGCACAAGGGGTTAAGTTACAGCACTACGGAGCTAGTGCTGTAACTCCCCGGCCAGGGAGGTGGCCTACATGGCACCGCAGACCTCTCCTGTCTCCCCACTGCTCTCCTCAGCAGGATATTTCAGTCAATCCGCCTATTCTGTTCCCCACTCTGCCTCTGGTGAATCCTTTCACTGACCACCCCCCCCCACCACATCTCTGGCCTATATCCCAGTTCTGGCATGCATAAATAAATACATAAATCTTAAATTAAAAAGAGAGAGAGAGAGAGAGAGAGAGAGAAGTGAATTGAATTCATACATTACAATTTCCTCTTACCTGTATGAGTTCGAACATGCTGTACATAATTATTCTTTCTGTCTGAAAAATAGTTGCATTTTCCGCATGTATATACTTTTCTTGGAAAATGGTTTCTCAAATGTTTCCTCCAGTGATATTCACTTACTGTGGTATAAGTGCAAATGATACACTTGTAGACTCTCTCATTATCTCCAGCTCTAGTGTGGTGTTTCAAGTGAGCAGTATAGTGATCATATCGATTAGTGTTGTACCCACAGCGGTCACAGCGAATGGGGCCCTTGGAGAAATCTCCCTCTTCTGTAGTGGAAGAACCAGATTCCCTGGCTTTTGCTTGCTTTTCTGCACTTTCTTCCACAAAAAATTTCTTGGCACTATGAACTCTAATGTGGTGCACAAACTGTTCTTCAGATTCTGCTTCATACTGGCATGGCTTACAACGAAAGGGTTTGGTCTTCAAGTTCTTGCATTTGTCCTCTGTTCCAGGTGTTTCAGGAGGAAGTTCTTTATTTGAACTGTAAATTTCTGGAGCAGCTGCTGATACCTCAAACACAGGCTGTGGTTCTACAACACTGAGTTCCAAACTTTCCAGTTGCACATTTTCCAGTCCACTGGGTTCACCTTTTATTTCAGGAGACTCTTCAAGACCTTCTCCATCACTATCTGAAAAGTTGTTATCTCCAACAGGCATCAATTCGGCCATCTGTCTTTCTTCACCAACCAGGTAATCACAACAGCTGCCATTTACTTCCCCAGTTAAGGCCACATTTGCCAACATGATAAGCTGAGGTGCAGCCAGTTCAGCTTTGGAGAGGTCATGCAAGTCATACATGTCGTTAGACAAGGCCATGCCAATGTTGCCACCGCTGGTGAATAGCCCTCCTCCTCCAGAAGACTGCCCCATTACTTGGGTGGCCATAACTGTATTCTGAATTAAAAACAAAACAAACACACACAAAAATACAATAAAACCATCAGTTTAAACACAGGTTTTACTGGTAAAATCTAAATATCACTGTAATTCTTGATTAAAAAAAATTTCCAATATAAACGTTAAAATCAATGAGCTTCATTAATTACTAAAAATAAGCCTTTAAAATAGTCTTATAATTGTGACTTCTCTTTACTAGACACAAAAAAAATTTCATTACCCCTACAAAAAATTCTATCAACTGTATGACACAACTTTTTATCCTAGTATTAACTAGGTCTACAACTGGCATGCTTTCCCCAAAACACTTAATTTTTCTAGCAGAAAAAAATAAGCCTAACCTTTAATGTTAATTCAAGTTATTTTTTAATTCAATACATAAATCATAAACTGCTGCCCTCCACCCTCCCCCCCCCCAAGGTTTCCTTGTCTGCATCAGAAAAAGGAGAAATCCAGAGGCCATACTGTGCCTTTATTTAACACACCCACGTTTGGAAAGTATAAGTCTAATAACTGTTCGACTGAATTCAATTTCATGTGAACTCATCTAACTCCAGAAGGAAAAAACTGAAAAAGGTAACCATTTGGTTTGATTTCTTTCAATGACTCGATCTGTTGAGCCAAAAAAAAAAAAAAAAGAAAAAGAAAAAGAAAAATTACAGGCCCCTTTTTTCTGTGCAAAAGGTTGTTCACTGTATGCAAAATTTCACAAATGAAAATACTCTTTCAAGCCCCCTAACAAAACAATTTCACGACTCAACTAGACGATCAGCAACTTTCTTGCATTGTGCTTGACTTGGCCTACTTGCCTAGTGGAAGCCATTACAAGATTACCTTCCTGAAAACACGCTGGGCTTTTAAAATCGTCTTCACCACGTTACTTCCCAATCTAAAAGGTGCTGTTCTCCCATTAGGGGTCCTCGTGTAAGTCAGAAAAAGCAAAATAACTGACGCAAGTGCGAAAAACAGAAAGATAAACCCCAAACACAAAAAAGTAATCCGTTTCACTCAAGTGCCTACTAACACAAGCCAGTAGAGTTCCAACGAAAGTTGGAATCAAATGCCATCACAGAAAACAGAGGGCAAAAGCTGTCCCAGGGCTGAAGCACCCAGACTCCTCGGTAACTGACCCAAACGTGGCCTTTCCGAAGACCTCCCCAAACCCTACCTGCCACCTCTAAAGGAATTTTAAAGTTGGTCAGGAAGGGCGTCCCAGCACAGCCCGAAAGTCCAACGTGTTGCACGAATTCCTACGTGCTGCTGCCACCAGCGCCGGCCTCGGCGGCGGCATTCCTGACTCAAACAGGCATTCGGCCATTTTCTCAAAATACCAAACACAAAGCAGCTCTTTGCAAACTCGGGCGCTCTCGCTTCCTCTCGGCTCGGCCCGCTCGCTGCACACATTTACACGCCGCCTCGCGGGAGCTGCCCCGACACCCCCGTCCCGAGCTTTCTCCCTGAGCTCCCCAACTCTGAAAGACAGAAGGGCACCTCGGGGTGCCGACGGGTCGGGACCCAGGCTTCCCCGCTCCAGGGCCCCCCCACCCCGGCCCGCGAGAGGGAGAAAAGTTACCGCGGCGCCCGCGTTCCGGCGGCTCCGGGCGCCCCGGGGCTCGCCCTCTGCGGCTCCGCGGGCGCCCTCCCGAGGCGTCGCGCCCCGAGCGCCGGCGGGGGCCCCCCACGCGCGCCGGCCGCCCCCCCGCGCCCCGGAAGTTTGCGCGCTCACTCCCCCACGGCGCCCCGCGGGGCGCGCGCCCCGGCCCGGCCGGCTCCCGCCGCGGGGTGGCCGGGCGTGCGGGGCCGCGGCGGCGGGGCGGCCCGGGCGCAGAAATCGCTGTCCAGCCCCATTGGGGGAAGCGCCGGGCCCCGGGGCTGACTCAACCCGCCGGGCCGCGCTCAACGGCGCCTTCCGGCGCAGGGGAGAGGCCCGGGAGGGAGGGAGGGGGCCGGCGGGCCGCGGCCGGCGAGGGGCTGCGGCGGGATCCGGGCGCGGGGGGAGGACGAAGAGGAAGTTTCAGGACTAGGGCCCCGGGCGCCGCGGCTCCCGCGCCCCGGGACGCGGCTCCGGGGGCCGCCGAGCCCGCGCGGAGGCGGCGGCCCGGCCCCGGCCGAGGAAGGGGTCCCGGCGCCGCGCCGCCCCCCACCCCGACGCCCCCGGCCCAGCCCCGGGCCGCGGCGATGTAACCCGATCCCGCGCGGCGCCCGCCCCCGCCCCGCGCGGCCGCCGCCGCCTGCGCCACAGTATCGGCAAATCAGCCCTGGACAGCGCCTCGCTCCGCGTCCTTCCGCGCCCTCCCCCTCCCGCGGCCGCCGCCGCCGCCCGGCGCCCGGCGCCCGGGCCCCCCCCGGCCGAGCCCCCGGGCCCGCGCCGCGCTTACCGGCCTCCCCCGGCGAGCAGGGGCGGGCGGCCCGGCGCCGCCGCTCCTTCTCCGGCGACTTTTCTTTGTTGCTGGAGTTTCGAGGGCGGGGAGGGGAGGGGGGAAAGTTGGGCGCCGGGGCCGTCGAGGCCCGCGGAGGTCCGAGAGCGGAGCTACGGGGAGCGCTCAGGCCGCCGGCCCTCGCCCTGCCGTCCCGGCCGCCGCCGACGCCGGGGTCTGGGGCCCGGGGCCTCGGCGGCGCTGGCTCTGCTGCTGCGCCGCGAGCTCGCGGGAGCCGCACATTCCAGCACAGGAGGCTGCGCCGCGCACCCGGCCCGCGCCGCCGCCGCCGCCCGCGGGACACGCCCCTCCGCCGCCTGCGCGCGCCCGCGGGACACGCCCCCTCCGCCGCGCGCGCGCGTGGCCGCCCGGCGCGGCGCGCCCCGCCCCTGGGCGTAGGGGGCCGCCGGCCGCGGGCTGAGGGAGCTGGGTGCGCGCCCGGGGAGGGCGGGGGGGGGGGCCGCGCCGCGCCGCGCCCGCCGGGCTCCTCACGCTTGCCCTTAGGTCGGATAAAAGGCGAGACCCACGCTCTGGATTTCTTTTCTAAACCAACAACAGAAAAGTTACCTCCCCCGCCCCACCCCCCGCCAGCCCTGGCGTGCACGCATGAGAATAGAGCTGTTCAAAGAAAAATGTGCAGGCTTTGACGTTCTCTCTGGAACTTTTGTCCCCCGCCTTTCAAGTCCAAAGCGCTCGACTATACTATTCAGAGGCTCGTCAAGTCTCCCTCCGTAGCCAGCTTTAAATTGATGACGCTTCATTTTGAAGTTGTGAGGCAAAAATACTAGCCAGATTTTAGAAGATAAGGAAATTGTAGTTTGGGAGTTGCAAGAAAATGTTTCTGGAAGAGCGTGTGCTCGAGGCAGTAAAAATGAGAACTGAGGGGGCAAGTCCTGAGACGTGGCAGGTAGCAAGTTGTCGCTGAGCCTTCAAAGCACGATTTCAGTGGAGCCATTACTCTAGGATTACTGAGAGTGAAGAGGATGGTGAGGACATGGCGGCCTCCTGGTGACCACGTGTACAGGGAGAGTAACCTGGCTGCTGTTTAGAGTGGGGGTGTTAAGGGGAAAAGGATGCCCTAAAGCTAATTCCATACTGGCTTTGTGGACTCCACCCCCACCCCAGGCCAAAGCCAAAAGACACTGGGAACTCCAAATCCCATCACCACCAAAGGGAAGGTGGCTGGGACCTGAGGGTGGGGTTAAGCAGCCAGGTTGATATAAAGCCAGACACGTGGGCTTTAGAGGTGTTCCCCCATTTTGGCTCTCCGCCAGCTCGCAGCTGTCTAGCCAGCTCTGAGAGTGTTTTGGGGTTTCCAGGTTGGCGGATGGGGTAGGACACATTAAAGACTTTATTTCCCTATTTTCTCCCTGAGTTGTACATTTCCTTAATTCCCTTTCCCTTGTAAATAAACCTTTTATTAACCTTTGTGTGTGCCTGTAGTGAAGTAGTAATAAGTCCCTTTTAAGCGCATGGGTGAGGACCCACAGCCAGAAAACCCGTTTTATATCAGGGCTGCCCTATAACAGGGAAGGAACCCTGCCTAATACCTGGCACATAGTAATATATTAAAAAGGAGAGGAAAAAGTAATTTCATAAATCCCTTCCCTTTTGTTTGCTCCTGAAATCGTTGTATAGTCTACCTTTGGTCTTAAATCACTCCTGTCCTCAGAAATGTGATGGTTTCCTTAAATCCCTTACTGTGGTGTTCAAGGCCCTGTTTAAGGAGACGGAGAGAAGTCAGACTATCCAAGAATTATAATAGAAGCTGCCATAAGTGCTATGGAGTTTCAGAGTAGTTAGATGGCACCTAATGAAGAGGATCTGGAAACTTCTCACAATAGACAATTTCCCAATCTGGCCTTGGAGAAATGAAAGAATTTCAACAGAAAAAAGGTAGAAGGAAAATTCTACACAGTGAAAACAGGAAGGTGATTTGGGAGTGAGCAAAAGCCCTCCTTCAGAGAAGGGCTGCTAGAAGGGCCATTCTGTCACCAGTGAGGTAGAGAGAGACACACAACACCATCAGCATTCACAAACACATCCATATGGAGGGTGGGCCTCAAGAAACTTGTGGCTTGAACACTTTAATAAGGAAATGGGCCTTGAAGGAAAGGGGCACTCCAAATGTGCATAGACACCAGGTCAACAAGCTGATTTGACTGAAGGAATAATGAACATCCCATACTGTGTCTGTGTGTGATTATCCAGAAAATGTAATGAGGAATAAGATTCACCAAACAGCTCTATAGGCTGGTTACCTACATACATGACAGCACTTTCCAAAATCTGCAGTCAGTATGTATAAGAACTAGCCACTGATTGCCAAATAAAGCTGCAAAAACAGCCACAGCAACAAAAAGAAAACACTGCTCAAAAGTCCATCTTTTTAAAAAAAAAAAAATTTATTTATACAAGACCAGAGGCACAGTCCAGATGCGTGGGAGGGTGAGAGGATTCACCAGAGACAGAGCAGGGAACAGAACAGGCAGACTGACAAAATACACTGCTGAGGGGAGCAGCGGGCATGACAGGAGAGGTCTGATGCGCCATTTGAGACCCTCACTGGTGGTCCGGGATCAAACCGGGGCTGCAAAGACTGCAGACAACTTCACAGCGCTGCGCTCAACCACCTGCACCACCAGGGGAGGCCCTCAAAAGTCCATCTTTTGAGACCTCCTCCATGCCTACTCAGGTTTCTCCAGTTTCTTCGCTTTCCAGTTACTTCCTTCATTTGTGCTTCCAACTCCCATTTTCCAGGCGGACCCTCAGTAGGATCAGTGTTTTGCTTTATGTAGACAATGTATTACTAATTAATGTAGCATCAAATGCAAAAGATGGAATAAAGGTGCAAATGTTTTTAACCACAAAACATTTTGATGACTTAATGTCAAATGCAGCCTTTCCCCATGCATCAAATCTGAAAATTATTCATTTTCTTTTTTTTTTTTAAAGATTTGTTTATTTATGCATACAGGAACTGGGGTACAGGCCAGAGGTACAGGGAGGTAAGAGGATTCACCAGAGACAGAGTGGGGAACAGAACAGGCAGATTGACTGAAATACACTGCTGAGGGTGTTATAGGGCAGCCATTATGGTGACCAATGCAAGGAATGTTACTTTGGGCTGGTCAACCGCAGGTGTAACTTGGAAACCATGTTGGGCGCCAAACTGTTATAGGGCAGCCCCAATACAAAACGGGGTGCCTGACTGTGGGTCCTCACCCACGCACTTAAAAGGACTTGTCAATACTCTACTGCAAGCCCACGTGAAAGGTTAATAAAAGGTTTATTTACAAGGGAAGGGCAAATGAGGAAATGTACAACTCAGGGAGAAAAGTGGGAGACAAAGTTTTAAACGCGTCCTACCCGATCCCCCGATCTGGAATCCCAAATGGTACTCTGAGAGCTGGCCGCAAGCTAGGAGCCATGAAACCAGAAGGCGAGCGAGGGAGCGAGCCCCCCAAGGCCCATGTGTTTGGTTTTGTTTTTTTTTTTTAAATAATAAATTTTATTTTTATATTCCCCATACAATTGCAACCCCCCCACATGTATTTGGTTTTTATACCACACCTGGCTGCTTAACTCCACCCTCAGCTCCCAGCCACTTTCCCTTTGGTGGTGATGGGATTTGTCTTTCCCAATGTCTTGATGGCTTTGGTCTGGAGTGGGGGTGGAGTCCACAAAGCCTGCATGGAATTAGCTCATGACATCCTTTCCCCCTAACAAGGGGAGCAGTGAGAGAGTCACGAAAGGTCTGCTGTGCCATGTGGGTTGCTCCCTCGCCGAAGATCGAACTGGTGCTGCAGTGGCTGTGGATGGCTTCATAGGTTGCACTCAACCCCTTGGGCCACCAGGGAGGCCCGAAATTATTCATTTTCAATCAACCAAAGAAAGGTTGGGGAGAGAGTGGAAGAAGGGGAAAGGTGGGAAGGGAGAGGAGAGAAGAGGAAAGAAAGGGAGAGAGAAGGAAAGGAAGGGAAGAAGAGAGGAAAAAAAGAAGAAAACTTGTTGACCTGTTACAGGGTTTTTACATTTATTCTTTTTACCCTTTTCTTTTTTTCAAACTAAAATCTAATTTGAGGTTACATGGCTTTTTAGATGCTATAGTCCAGGGAATAATTCTGGCCACTATCATAATGGACAAAGACATAAATTGTTTTCTTTCCCTTTTTTATATCCAAGAAAGGCAAAAATGAAACACCTCTTTTTAAACTTACTAGATAAATGCCCTTCACTTCCTCAGTCTGTCTGCTTACTGGAAATGTTTCATTAATTGTGAATTTATTCCCACATATTGTAATGCAAATAGATGGCAAATGGGCAGCTGCATTCATTTAAAATTAGCAGAGGCCCTTGTTCAAGGGATAGCATATTGAGACTGACCCAAATTATCATGACGGGAAGGCCACAGGTCAAATTCAAGGCCAAGTTACAAATCAATAGAAAATTTCCTGGGGGAAAGCTGGTGCTATGAATTTGAATTCTTAATTGTTTTCAAGAGACTGTATTTTACTTCACTGCATCCAAACTTTAAGATCTTTTTGCTTATAAATGTTAATGAGTTCTGGCTTTCTTGATTTAAGAATATGGATTCTTTCCTACATACTTAATTCATCAACTTTTTAATTTTAATTATCATATGTTTTTAATATTTTTCTCTAGAATTTTATTTCAGAAGTTTGGTAAAATACCATTTTTGAGGTTCCATGTGCTTTTTATTCTTTCTCTTTTTTTTGCTTCTTATTCTGAACCATGTTTATTTCTTTCTTTAGAGAAGAGTTTCATTTTGACTGAACTCACATTCCTGTTACACTGAACATCAGTGACCCAAGGTTGACTGAAAATTGAGCCACAACATCTTCATCCTGATATTGAAAGATTTCAGTTCCACTCTTACTGTCACCAGCTAGAGAAAGACATGGGTCAAGAATAAACATATGAGGCCATTCTCCCATACTCACCTTTTCCAGTAGTACCTGTCACCACTCCTCCCTCCACATCTTCCCACATAGCTGACCTTACAGAGACTGAACTCTCACTATGAATTTTTTTTAAGATTTATTATTTATGCATAGAAGAACCAGCTTGCAGGCCAGAGGTGTAGGGGTGGGGAGCAGTGAGAGGATTCATCAGAGTGAGGAGCAGAACAGGTGGATTTATTGAAATATACTGCTAAGGGGAGCAGCGGGCAAGGTAGGGGAGGTCTGCT